ATCGTTGCAATTTACGACGATTTTACGACGATTTGATTTTTTTTTTTTAATAATTTTTTTTAAAAAAAAAAATATTTTTTTTTAAAAAAAAATTTTTAAAAAAATAAATCGTCGTAAAATCGTCGTAAATTGCAACGATTTTACGACGATTTAATTTTTTTAAAATTATTAATTTCTAAAAACAAAATTTCGTCGTAAATGGCGACGGTTTTACAACGATTTTCTTTGCAACGAATTAACGATGATTGTGTGCTAAATCGTCGTGAATTCGTCGTTAATTTGCGACGACAATAAATCGTTGTAAAAAATCGTTGGTAACTCTGTCTTTTCTTGTAGTGGACGTCGCGAGGAAGAAGATGAAGTAGAAAGAAAAAAAATTATTCTTATTATTATATCCAGTAATAAGAAGACAGGTGGAAGAAAGAAACTGTTTCTTAAAGTTTCAAAACAAGAAACATTTCCTAGGCAAAACTTAAACATTTGATTAAATTTATTAAAAAGTAATCACAAGAAACTCACATATAAACGGCGATAATAATGGTCTTAATTTTCATGTTATCTATTGGTATATAGTGATATTACTCAAATCTATATGTCTAAAGTTCAACAAAACTCATTAAAAGAGATGGTATGGGGGTCACCGAACCTCTTCGGGTGGAATTTAAGCGGATGCAATGCCAGGAAGTAGACTACAAATTATTTACATTACAAAAGTTTAAACATGAATTTGACTCATGTTTTCGTAAAAATTGGTATTTGGCTAATTCAGTAATCTTTTATAAATGTTACGTACGACATAGGAGTGTCATTTGAGTACGTATTTAATAAAATTGGTCCGACGTTGATAAGATGTACTTTATTTTTGTTATGTCAACATATTTCATATATTACGCGGCCCATCAGGGCGATAAGATGGTACTTTACCAAAACTGATCCAAAGATTCCCACAACCACAAGCATATGTAATGTATAACATAACCCGTCTGCGTCTAGTACAAAAGAAGAAAGAATTACATTTTACCAAAATAGTAAGTACCAACAAAGAAACACTCTAAATCGGGGTTTGCCTCGACGGATCCACGTGTCTACCGTGCCAAGCCAAATTGACACTTGCCTTATATTTGCAAACTCTCATCCAACTTGCTCAGTGCCTCCTCTCGTTATCCTAGTCACCTTGTGGGTCCTACGGGGCCGACATTACACATTCGCAATCCACCAATAGTACTTGTATGACTAGGCATCGTGGAAATGCATATAAACATAATAGGATACCCTAATAATTAAGTTCCCCGTTTTTGGGATCAACAAGAGAAAAGTAGTGCCTACAGCATATTTAATTCGTGGTCACAGATAAATAACTGCTTTTAAAACGTTTTCAAGTATGAATCATGGTAAAACGGTAAAATACAGAAACAAAACTGTATTAGTTTGATTTGTTGACAAATCATCCATGTTTCCGTCGTATGAAATGAAAAGTATATTAGTTTGTAGAATAACAAGAACGTAAATCGTTAACTCTTTAAGATAACAAGAACTATATAAATGAATTATGCTGATAAAGAGATGGTTAAGACATCTTTTTTTTTTCTTTCATTTATGTTGATAAACCCCCCAGATTTGATGGTAATTCGGAAAGTTTTTGGGTAAATATTGTAGATGAGGTCTGTAATTTCTTTACATCCAATATCTTACCGAGAAATCTATACATTGACCACACGCATATGTATATTGTAAGTTTTAAGTGGCCGCAAGATAAAAAAAACAAATAACCGTTTTATAACTAAAGAAAATGAACAGTTACGTTTTATAACTAAAGAAAAAATAGATCGTAAATTAAAGAAAAATTTTATATAAAAAATAGGTCTGTAAGTCCATGCTTGTACTGCTTGACTTCAAGACCGGCTCTGTGTCTAGTTAATAGCAAAGATCCAAGGCATAGAAGTATCGATGTTTTGTGCTCGACCTCAGCTGATCTTTACAAGGATTATTGTGTTATTAAAACCAATTAGTTTTTGCCATCCTACCAGTTATCTCGGAAAATATTCTTATCACCCATGAAATATTACAATTTATGTGTATGTAAAATGTAAGTATGTTGCACGCTAATAGAAAACGGTTGATGACTAACAAAATCATATATGAGAAGGCTTACGACTCGAATGAAGTTTAGTACTAACTAAAGCCAAACTACGTTTTTGATTAAAACAACATATAAAACACATTAGCAAAAAAAAAAACATATAAAACATGTTATAAGCACCGAAGGCTTACGACTCGAATGAAGTTTAGTACACTCTAATGTGAAAAACAAAATTGTTTTACGGCCGAGCTAATAAACCAAACAAGGTTATATTTTATGTTTGATTATTTGTAAATATTTGTAATGTATTTTTTAAAGAAAATATGGGAAGTCTTAGTGTATACAGACAGTATATGCGTCCAACAGTTATGATGAGATGGGCTTATCCTCTTCAATGGGAGAAGCAATGGCACTTTGCGTGTCTGCCGCAGAAATAACAACTCGTCAGTATCTCTCTCTATACCTACCATACGTGTCGCTTTGTCATTTTGTCAAATTCTCTCCAATGAATTTGTAGAAAATAAAATTTCGATTTTCTTGTACCTTTAAAACGAATACAGGGGATTTTGTATATGTGAAATGAAAGAGAAATGTTTTGATAAACCCTATCGTTATCTTTTTTTCTTTTTTTTTTGTTGCAAATTTAACGAAATAAACTGAACCAGAAAATCAATAAGTTAGTAAATTATTGAATATCATACTTCGATTTATATTCTGTTAAAATATATGGTCTCGTTTTTTTCTTTCTTTTTCATTTCTCAGCTGGACCAAAATAAATATATTTGGGATTTCAAAGATCGAGATTTCCCAATTATTAGTAGAAAAATGATGGATCATTCTTATAGTTATACGTCATAACCTTTAAGCTCTTATATATATATTTTTTTTTCCGTTTAGACACTAGACTCATTCACTTTCTAATAAAACACTGATATATACGTATTATCAGCTCATGGGTAATGCTTTGAATTAGTTTTGTCGTGCGGCGAAAAAAATATATGGTGCAACGCAATCATTATTGCGTGAGTAAATTTATGAAGGAACGATTCGACAGCTTGAAAAATAAACTATAAATTCAGTTTTGTATTGTAATTTCTGTGGGACGCTGTTCTGAAAGAAGACATGCAAGATGATGGTGTAGGGAGAACAAAATCCACATTTTCAAAATCCAAAATTTTAAAAATCTTAAACATTTTTATTACCTCCATGGCCATGCACATAGTGTCTGGATAGTGGATATACTACGAGCATGGCTTCCCGAGGCAATAGATTCGTACGTATCTATTTTATATGAAACAAATTGGTTCTGCTAATCATTAGTATTTCATGGTAAACACGATACCCTGCACTTTATAATATTCATTAAATAAAGTAAAGATTTTGGTATACTTTATTTTTATATTTTCTTGGAAAGAGTAGGACCATTCAGAATAATTGGACATGGAGATCGGGCGATACTGATACACACGTATACACAAGATAATCATTCCCATTCCTTTTTTTTTCATACACACACATATATCTTCTATATATAAAAAGCATATTTCCAAAAGAATATTCTATTTTTTTTTCCTTTTTTTTCATAATTTTCTGATGCGTCTGTGTATACGTGACATCATTGGATAATGTTGATGTAACCTTGAATTTGTTCTTATACTTTATCCACCTTTAATATTATATTATATCCAGTTGAAGATTATCGTATACATCATGATCAGTATAACATTAAACACCGTTTCATTAGAATATCTTAAATTATGTTTCTAATTAAACTCATCATAAGATTCATAAAAATTATGTACTGGTGTGTATGTCACTATCTAAAAATTATCGGCTATCACAAATGCCTTGAATGGGTTTTTGCATTAGGGGGCCATGCAAGTCCAATGGACCAACTCCATGTGTGCCCCACGTGATGTGGGTCCCAATAGCTCTCTTCATCTTTGCCAAATTTGTTCACAACAGTTTGGAACAGTGTCCACTAGTTTGACGCGATAGAAGTGTCATCTAATCGAACCAACACAACTAAATTGGAATCATACAAAATTAACAAAATTTGGTTAAAGTTCAGCTACCAAAAATCAAACTAACTAAATCGGACTCGAATCCAAAATATCGTTCATTTTGAAATATGATATTTGAATTCGCACTTTACTTTTTGAAAGCCCATAAATTTTAGTTTTACCAAAAATAAAACTGATGAATTAGCATATATCAGCTAAGTATTACCTTTCTTTAAATCTTGTTTAGTAATTAGGTTTGGATTCCCATATTATACCAAGTAATACCAAGTTAATTTCGTAAGACCATAAGTTTCAATAGAATACACATCTTATTTTCCACTCAATTTTTTATCATTCATATGAACAAATACATGTACAAAACCGGATTCCTACTGGACCGAACCGAGAACAATTACTTTTGTTACATATTATTGATAACCGGTCTATGGATTTCGTTTTCCGTAAATTCTAAATCAATCTAAATTCTCTTATTAGGCGGTTCATTACCTCAAGTTTAGCCTTCCTCAAACTGTTAAAAAAGCATGTATAAATATTAATTTTGACATATTAATAACATACTTTTATGTGAATCGAACTTAACTTACAATTCTTATCGTCCACCGAAATATAATATTGTTGAAAGAAAGTTAAATTTATAAAGTGTTCATAGAACATAGCACACAATACAAAAGGTTAAAAAACCCTATCATAAATCTCTCGTTATCTTAATTATTTTTTTGGCTCAATCTCAAAACGTTATCTTTTTCTTTTTTTTCCACTACCTTTTAACTAAAGAAAAAAGAAAAAAGAAAAAAGAATGAAGAAGACTAAGGCTTATACGTAACTAAATTACGATCATACCCTTCAATATCTCTCTCTCAGTTGTTTGTTCATCCATTTCATAAATCGCTATAAATACGCTCTTTACGCTCCTCGTCACTTGGCTTTGCACAGACAAATCTACTAGAAGAATCCTTTAGCCTTCTTCTTCTTCAAAACTCTCTCTCTCTTTCTCTTTACTTATCTCTCTAGTTATGGTTATTTCTCCGATGAACTCCACAATCAAATTTCTCTGTAGCTATGGCGGGAAAATCCTACCTCGTTATCCAGACGGGAAGCTCCGTTATAACGGCGGTCACACCCGCGTCCTCGCCGTTCCTCGCTCCGTCTCCTTTTCCGGTTAGTTCACGCTCTGTTTGTTAATTGATTTTGAAATTTTTTGAAATTGCAAAAAAAAAAAGAGAGAAATCGGATTTGTGGAGAGAGAAATTAAGGCCGCGCGTGTGGTGCGTGTAACAGAGCTAGCGTCGAAGATGGCGGAGATGTGCGGATCCACCGTAACAATCCGGTGTCAGCTCCCGACGGAAGATCTCGACGCGCTCGTTTCCGTTACTTCCGATGAAGATCTGGCGAATCTAATCGAGGAGTACGACCTCGTTTCCTCCTCGTCGCCGTCGCCGATGAAGATCAGAGTCTTCCTAAATCCGCCAAAATCCTCAAAATCGACGATCTCGCCTCCTCCGTTAGCGTTACCGTCGTCTTCGACCACCTCTTCCACCACTTCATCTACTTCATCGAGTCCTAGATCTCCGTCGCTGTCAAAACCACCGCTACCTCCGTCGCCGCCGAGATTAACGACGGCGAAGAATCCGTGCTATGGTTGTTATGTCCACCACCGTAACTCGAGAAATATCTACCTCGTCCACAACGGAAATCACTGGCAATAACCCCAAGCCCCCAATCAGATTCAGAAAAAAAAAATAAAAATGTGAAGAAGAATCGAATATACAATCTTCGTTTAAAAATGTAAAAGAGAAAGAAAAAGTAGTAGAAGGTTACGTGATCTTCTCTATTACGATGATGACCGTCACCATTAATGAAATCCTCCTAAAAAAGCTTTTCTTTTGTGTTGGTGAATTGGGTGAGTTCGTTTAATTCCTTTTTTTTTTTTTTAATCCTCACTTTCACTTTTTTTTTTTTCATCACTCCGTTGCGTTTTTGCCGTCAACGTTAACCACCTGTCTTGGAACCTTCGAGCCTCGTTAGTCGTAACCGTTCAGCCACGTGTCACCTCTAACTTATCTACTCTTCCGTTACTTTACTCTTGTTATGTTGCGTCGCCACCGTCGATCTCTCACGTCATTATATGTACCGTCTGTTTCCCGTTAAATCACCTTTTTTTAACGGATTTAACGAACACTTTTTCCTTTTGTTTTTTTAATTGTTTTTTTTTTTTCACTAAGCTTTCTTTAACACTTGCTTTTGTGTGTGGTATATATATATTCAGGTTTTTTTTTTGGTTGGTAAAATTCAATTTCTGTTGAACTAACATTTACAATCACCCTCTGTCACATCTGCAGGTAATTTTCTACATTCTTAAAAAAATCGAGACAAGGCTTGGTCGACTTTCTCGTCTATGGTATGTGCTTTATAAATAATTTTTTTTTTTACATTAAACATGTACATGTGTTTGTTTATGTATTCTGACGTTTACATACTTTTATTTTTATGGTTCTTTTTTTGTAGATAAATGGGATAAGCTTGGAAAATTTGAGGAGAAAGACAAATTAAAATGAAAGATTAAAAATGTTGGGAATAAATGAAGGAGAGGTGATAATGAATGATGATAAGATTCGATTTTTAATCAAAATGGGTCCCGAAACACAGCTGGTGTTGAGAAGTATAATATTCCACTTATTAGTCTTTTTAAGGAACGGAAAATGATATACATTGGATTTAGTTCGAGTGGGGGAGTTAAAGACACCAAATACGATTTATATCCAAATAAAAAATTGAGGTCTGGACTGTGGAAAAACGAAAGCTTTAAATTGGGATGTAATGACTCAAATAGGGACGTGAGTTTTGAAATTTTAGATATTTCTTAGCTAAGTTAGGTGGTGGACGTATTATTAGGGATTAGGGACCATCACAAGATGAATTAGGCAATATAACACTAAAGTAGGCAGACATTTAGGCAATCGAGCTCTTCGTAACCTGGAAGGAAACTACATAAAAGGAATCATGAGTAAAACTTCTAATATTTAAAGGTTCAAGGACGACTTGGAAATTCTAGGATTGATCGCTTACGTTGATGAATGATGATCTAACATTAACGTCAAAGCCATCATAATTTTGATTATGATTCTGTAGCTTAATTTGGTCCAAGTTCATTCACCAAAACTAAAACCTGATTTTGTTTTATGGAAAAGCAAAAAAGTCACACTAGTAACTAGTAAGTAATCATTAGCACTGAGGTTCACACTAGTAATGGTGGATAGAACAGTCTAGTAATGGGAAAGCAAGAAGATCACACTAGCATTGGTTGATTGATATATTATCAAAAACTAAAACTAAAATGGTGATAGCTTACTTTTTATTTTTTCCATTTAAAATAGAAAAGAGTTAAATCTCATTTATTAATAGGTATTTAAGTGAATTTTAACTGGTTCGAATAACGATACTTTTAGTTTTACAGAATGATGAAATATATATTTATTATTAATTAATGAAAATATAAGGAGTGTGTAACCACTCACCAAGTATGGATAATACGGCTATGTCGCTGGTGACGCTCGTCGAGCAGCTCGCGCTCTTGGGACAGAAGATGGACCGAGATAAGACAAAGATACTTGTGTTGGATCTTGCAAGTGGACCGGATTGATCTGAATATTCTATTAGAAATGGCTGCTTGACTTTATCATATGAAGTTCTCTGGTCAACTTTAAGACACATTTTCAAATAACTAGACTTTTGATCACAGACATGGCAACATCAAACTCAACATTCCTGACTTGTTCAACCTCTCTAATCGATCTTACTTAAAGGTTAAACCTTTATAATCTTTTTGATTAGCTCAAAGGAAGTACAAGAAACCATGGATCATGATCTCGAGAAATTCCCGTTACTCTCTTACGTCCTTCACCAATTCAACTCCGATCACCACGCGCCGCCGTCTATGGCGGTCCAACAAACTCTAGCTCCTTCTTTTCCTCTTCTCTCCGATCAAGAAATCATCTCCTCGTTGACTAAATCCATCCCCACCACCATCACGCAGACGCTTTCCGTCTTGGCCTCTCTCGGATCACGACCCGACCCGTCTGCGGTTTCCTCTGCTCGGTCCAAGATCGCGCAGGTTCTTCGGAAGGAATCGCTCTCGCCGGAGGAAGCAGCGAAGGAGGCGGAGATTTACGCCGGGGTTGTTCGGTTAGAGGAGGTGCACGATAGCTACGAGAAGCAGCTGAGGAGTTTGGAGGAGGAGCTTTCTAAGGTTTATGCCACGGCGGTGGAGTCGCTGTTGAGAAGCCGCGAAGAAGTGAACGAGGAGGTTGTTGCGGTGCTCAAGGCGGCGGAATCCGGCGGAGTCGTTGAGAGGATCGATCTCTCCGGCCATGAACTTAAGCTTCTCCCTGAAGCTTTTGGAAAAATCGTTGGCTTAGTTTCCTTAAATCTCTCTTGCAACGACTTAACGGTAAATACTAAAAATTCTCAATATTTGGATTAAATCTCGATTAATAGCTTCGAAATCTCATGGACTATCTTAACTGGCATTAATAGATTTGAGCAAGAATCTTGTTCTTGATCAAACCATGGATCAAGAACAAATTTCGATCAGCTAAGAACAAGATTCTTGATCATCTATTTGCATTGTTTCTTATTTTTATTTTTATTTTTAATTCTCTGAAATATCTGAAACTGTTGTTAAGAAAAACCTCATTTGACAGTTTATACCTGATGCAATCTCGAAACTAAAGAAGCTAGAAGAGCTCGATGTATCTTCGAACTCTCTTGAATCTCTACCTGACTCTATTGGAATGTTGCTTAACCTTAAGATCCTTAATGTGACTGCAAACAATCTAACCGCACTCCCTGAAAGCATCGCTCATTGCAGGTTTGGTTCTTGTCTTTTCTTGTTAATGTCTGATTATTCTGAACATTGTTTCTAATTTTGTTTTGGGAATATCCATATGATTAGGTCATTGGTTGAGTTAGATGCGAGTTACAACAACTTGACTTCACTACCTACAAACATCGGATACGGATTACAGAACCTCGAGAGACTATCGATACAGCTGAACAAACTCCGTTACTTCCCAGCTTCGATATGCGAAATGCGTTCTCTAAAGTATCTCGATGCACACATGAACGAGATCCACGGGATTCCAAACTCCATCGGCAAACTAACGAAGCTCGAGGTTCTAAACATGAGCAGCAACTTCAACAACTTGCTGGGTGTCCCTGACACAATCACCGATCTGACTAACCTCAGGGAGCTTGATCTAGGCAACAACCAAATCCAAGCGATACCCGATTCTTTTTACATGCTGAAGAAGCTGGAGAAACTGAACTTGGACCAGAACCCGCTCGAGATCCCGTCTAAAGAGGTGGCTAGCCAAGGAGCCGAAGCGGTTAGAGAGTTTATGAAGAAGAGATGGACGGAGATTATGGCGGAGGAGAAACAGAGGATTGGCGTTGAGGCTGAGAGGCAGCGACATGGAGATGAAAGCGGGTGGGTCTTGATCTCATGGGTTAGTAATCTTGTTTCTGATGTGACTCAGACCATTGGATTTGGAGGAGGATCTGGTGGTGATGGTGGAGATAAGAAACCTGGTGAATCTCATTTCTATCACCAAATCTAAGTTCTGTTTCATTTTTGTTTACTTTTGTAATTTTGGGTGTAACAATCTTGTGAACTCTAGCATACCTCGTTTGCAGTTGTGTGCAAGTTTTGTAATATGAGAAACTTGTTCTTTTTTAAATAAAATATATTCTCAAAATGTAAATTTACATTATGATACAAATGAATTTTTCCGGAACAAAATAAGCTTCACTTGGACGAATAAGGACACTTGACGTGATCAACAAGAAACCAGTAGAAAAACTTTGCCACCATCAATCCTTTTTTAAATCCGTTGGCTTAAACTCCTACTGATCGACAACAACTTACATAACATCTTCTTAGGTTGTCTTGGGATCGCACAAAACGCCATAAACCTCGAAGGAGTGCTCTGAAACCCTCCGTTTGTTTTGATTTCATCTCTTTCTTCTTCTTCTTCTTCTTGCACTTCTTCTCTTCTCGTTGTAAAGCTTCTTCTCAAAACCGCTGTTTCGTTCGTGATGATATTGTTTGTTGTTGTAGCTATCGTGGCTCGTGCTTGCTCGACAAAGAGGATTTGCACGATCACTCTCAATGGAAGCAGCTGGTTCTGTGCAGCGCTCTTGCTTGCCTCTACTGTTAGTTTCTTGCAGTCCAAGATTCTGCATAACCTCTTTCTCTCGCACTTTTCAATCTTCTGATGAACCTGCAATACAGAGAGTGCCATATAATCAGTGTTTGTTAATAGAGATAATAGTTTCTTGTTTGCATCCTTGTATTTATTACCTGGAGATAGATGTCAATCGCTTTGTATAAATCGTCGTGACATATCCTAGAACATTCCGGTATCGATTCAGCCAATTCAACAAACGTCGACACCGTTAAGTTCACATCTTTAGCAATCTCTTGAAGATACGAATCAACAAGTTTTGCTACCTTTGCCAACAAAGGAGAAGAAGAAGAAGAAGACAGAGATCTTCCAACCTCTTGTATCTCATCCAGATTGATGTTTTCTTCTGAACGGGACCTTCTATGTTGAGTTCTTCTTCTCTCTGACTTTATCTGAGACACAAACTGCTTCACCATCATCGTCACAACAACCACATCGTATAACATATCTGACTTGTCTGCTAAAGGTATCAACAGCTCGCTAACGGTTGCCTTATCCAATTGGTTTCCGGCTTTAGCCGCGAGATCCATCTTCGAAGACTGAGAAACGTTCATAACATTCGTCATTCTCAGTAGCTGAAGCAAGAAACTGCAAGGAACAGAGGATTTCTCCGCTGGTAAAAGGGAAATAACCAATTCCAAAACCAGTTTTGATTCCGGAGAGCATTCTTCGGTTCTCTGTAGCCATTTAGACGCGTAGATTCTAAGAGCATTTCCGATTAACCTCGGAGATACATTCCGGTTTGATGATTTTATAGCCATAATTGTTCTCCGGTAAAGATCTAAACCCAAATCAGCCAAATCTTCACCCCACCATCGTGTGTTCTCTGCTTTACTTCCTCCACCATTACACAAGATTTCGTCTCTTCTTCTCCTCATTGACCGGTTTCTCAACAAACCCGTTTCTAATTGGCTCGAAAAATCTTCACCGTTGGATAGAGTTACACCGTTCGCAATCGCCTCGACGCATCGATTTGTGATCCCAAGATCTTCAGACCATAAAGGTAAGACCTTTGTGGTCTGAAGAGTGACAAGAGAGTCTCTCCAACTCGTGAAGACGCAAGAACTCAAGAAAAGTTCGAGTCTCTGGACAAGATTCTCGGTCTCGCCGGGCTCGACTTCTTCCGTCATCCCGAGATACTCCGCTGCACATCGTACCGCGACTACATTGTGAGCACAGAGAGTGATTGTGATGCCGTAACAGAACTTAGCACAGAGCTCGAAAGCTTCTGTTTCGCCGGGAAAATCAACAAGTTGTATCACTTTCTGTTCTTGCGAGGTTTCGGTTTCGGTTTCTTGTGATTGTGAAGAGACTAGGTTCTTTAAACGCAGGCATTTTGATAGCATCGGAAACTGTGATTGCATTACGCCAATAAAACAAAAATATCAGAACTCAAAACTGGAAATTGTCATGAGAAAAAAAAAAGATGAAAATTTTAAATTTTTACCTTGTGAAGAAGGTATTTGGTGGATTTGACTTGGATTATAAGATCATTCAATAAATCAGAAGACACAGACCTGGAAGAAAAGTAAAAGATGAGAGATTGATTCGGAAAATTAACAAAGAATTCGAAAAAATTGTGAGGGACGATTGAATCCTTCTTCTTTACCTTACTGCTTCCACAGTGTAGAATGTGTCAGGTCGAAACCCTAATTCCATGTATTTCATTTCCGGTAGAAAAGAAAATAGCCGGAGAAGTCGGATCCGGTTCGCCGCAAGAATTAGATTATGGTTTCTGACGAATCGGAAATTGATGTTAGTCAGACCAGAATCGGCTCCCAGAGAACGTCAGTTTTGGTCTGAAATTCAAATGATCAGAGGGAATTTAGATGGTCTCCGGCGGAATTACGGCCGGGGACTTGTAACAAGATAGCCGGAAAGAAACCGGGTGGGGGGGGGGGCTCCGGCGACTGTTGACAGCTCAGCAGCGAGATAAAAATCTCGGATTTGAACAAAAAAACAACTCTGTCTCTGGAAATTCCGATTTTGTTGTCGGATATGGACTGTGTAAGAAGAGAGTGTAGAAACAAGAATCTGTTACACAAGAGTTTATAAATGAGTGGTTTTGTAATAAATAATTTATTTCTTTGTCAGATGTAATTTTTTAAGGTTAGCTGATTACACCTTGAGAAATCATTAGGTTTTGTCACACCACCTGAGAACTTTCGTATAATCAAAATTTAGCAGAAAGCACAAAAGTACGGTTCACCAGATAATAATACTAGAAAATTTATTGCACAAAGAAAAAGCTAAAGTAACAGTCGATAATGATACAATGATTTTTTTTAAAAAGTTGTATGGTTGATATAAAATCAAGTTGTACTACCATATTTAATTTGTAAATTTTTACTTTTTACTCTATTTTGATGAATTTTCTAAGAAATACCGTAATAAATAAATAAACAATATATAATATTTATAAAATCTTTTTTTCTCTTAAACCAATTGTGATTTTCTCAACAATGCATATAGATCCTCCTCATGCATGTACTTTCAAATGTAAGGTGAATAAAGTGAAATATGCAAAGATTGAATGGATTTTGAGGGACAACAAGGGACATGTGGAGCGAGGCCAAAGCTTATCCACGCTTAAGATAGGCAATGTTTTATTTAGACAATATTTGCTTATGAAGAAGTGTATTTTGAGAATGAGTCCAAATTTGTGATTCAAGCAATCCAAAATTGGCCAATACAAGTATACAACACAACTTCACAAGGGAGATCAATGGAGCAAGGCGTCGGTATCTTCGTTCTCATTCCCAAATTCAAGATAGACATTCGAATAAGTGTACTGATCTAGTTGCCAAAATGGCTTCTTCACATAGAAATGGAATATTTGATAAAGAAAACAGTTGTAATTAGAAGAAATGTGCATAAATTTTGAGGTATTTTTGGAAAACGTTCAGACCCGGTAATTTTCTAAAAGTATGGTACTTTCAGAATTAAAATTATTATCATCTGTTTTTTGAAAGTGACACCTTCTTTCATTATTTCATCATTTTACTATCTTATTCTTTTTGCCAACCATTCCTTTACTGTCTGAAACTCAGCATTTAACATGATTGCCTTTAACTTTTTCCTTTCGATATCATGAAATATTTGTTTTTCCGAATGATATCATGGATATAATAGGTTATGCATTTCTCTTTTATGATCTAACTAATGGGTTATATATTAAGTTATACATATATGTATCGGAGACCCCATCTAATAAAACCATATTTCTTTCCATTTAATTATCACTCTCTTTTTCGTCGTCATAGGCATTAGTACGAATTCGGAATATTAGTATGCTGAAAGATGATGATTGTTCCTCATATGATGAAAATATTGAAAAGTATATATATATATATGTATGTTCTTTAATCGAAATCATTTTTCTATTCTTTGAATTGGATGTCAAAGCATGACATGTGGTGTGTATATAACTTTTACATATTCATGGAATGATGGAACAACTTCCGTTTTGTAAAAAAAGATCTTTTATTGATGTGAAAACAAATTGTTATTATTTACACCGATAACGTTGCCGTATGATTTATTCTAATTAATAAATGATTTCAATATAATAAGTAAATAATAGGTGATACTAAAAACAAATGAATGATATAAAGAATAATATATGATATGATACTAAAAACAAACGATAGTGCAACTGTGCAAGTCGAAAAGATCTAAGATAACCCTTGTTACAAAAAAAAAAATCTAAGATATAGGACAATAAAAATTTAAGCGCGTTTGTTTCAACGAATTAGACAGATGTTGGGTATCAAGATCAAACTAAATTTGAAAAATTCGACTTTTTTGTTGTTGTCAAATATCCATCTTGGATTTTCTAGCTGATAATCAAACAATGAGATAATACAAATAATTGGAAAATCTCTATAGATTGTATTTTCGTGACTACAAAAGGAAAGCACCATGTGATTGTCCATCGGTTTTCTATCATTGCAAATTCGACGCCGCTTGTCTTAATTCATTTATTAAATTTTCTCATTTTCTTACTAAAATTAAAAGATTCAACCCCTTTTTCAAGTAATTTTCTACTTCAAATATAATCATTATTTTGTTTAAGTATTAGCTTATGTTATAAAAAGTTGAGAGATGAGATGATATTGCTTTAATACAACAGATTGGAATGATGAAGAAGAATATACTAAAGTGGTATGAGCGGTAATTAGTTAACCCAATATTGTTAACATGTTAAACCAAAAAACATAACACAGACACATACTTAAATAGAGATCTAAACGATTTGAATATTTTGTATGGTTTGGTTTGAAATGAAGAAAATTATGAATTTTGTTTTAAAGCAAATTTTTAATAACTAAATCAATAAAAATGGTAATTATATGAAACATTTATTACAGTTGATTAACTTGCCAGGTATAATTCACCCTCGAATAGGTTTACTTTTGGTTTAGGAAAGCTTTTGAAAAATGAGCTAATTGGTGTAATCGCCTTTAGGATTCTACTTTTGTCATTTCGTTCTATGTAGTTGTCTTATCTTTTAAGAGTCAAGACTATAATGGCAACCAATTTTATCCAAGAGTTTTGCAACATCAGCATGTCACAAAGAATCTTTATCTCTAAACTTGTTGAATATTTTTCACATATGAAATAAAATGAAATCTAATGTAAAATAAAAAGGAAGGTATAAACTTGGATTTTATTTGGCTAGTTAAACAACTTTGATTAAAGATTTGGATGCCAATCAAAAACAACATAACTTTTAGAGAAACAACATAGTTCTTGTAACCAGTCCATCTATGCACATATAAATTAGGTAGTGTTTCCAACTGATGAGTAAATCAAATTTTGACTCTAGCAATCCGATTATCGGTTTTGTTCATCTAGAAATTGTGGTGTTAAATTAAAGAGTAATACAAAGTAATTTAATTGGCTGGATTCTATGTCAACAAATGTGGGGTTTTTTTTCCGGCAACAAGTAGTGATATCAAGTCATCTATCTTTGAATAGGTATGATGTAGGTATATATGCAGCAAAATACAACATATAGTTGAAAAATGGCGTTCATTGTCTCCAAAATTAGGCTTTTGATTACACTTATGCAAACCCAAGAAAAGAAAATGCGGGACAAGGAAGAAACAAGATTTGTATTTGGTCTTATTGATAAAATTGCCATAATGGTTTTTGCCTCAGGTTTGTCTACAAGAGAGGAATCATATTCCCAATGGGACCGTGTCATCACCACCACAAAACACTCTTTGTCTTTGCTACAATTAATTTTGGACCCAATTTTATCTACTGTTTACATATTATCCCATTTTTATTTTCCATCATTTGATTTTCTAATCGGGATTTGATCTTCATATCTGGTAAATAAAAATATCTTCATATGTGATAAGCTAAATGTGATAAGAAACACATTTTTCAAACTTACTCCAATAGTATTATGTGATTTAAAAGAGATTAATTGAAGTTACAGATTAATAATGATAAAACTGAAATAACATATGGATCATATATGTAACAGTATATAGTTCGTAATATGGAATATTCATAATTAATTTTGACAAAATATATATCCAATAAATTTAAAATGTGAATTAAACCAGTGGTAATAATATTTTTGTATGCCACCGTTCTTTTGAAACCTCAGGTTTTCGGTGTGTTTTAAGCTTTTCTCTGTTGACTGTTCCATACAAAAATTAACTTTTTTTTGTCTAACATGTAATTAGATTAGCCCCGAAGCATATCGTTGATAAAAATAATAACAATTTTCAGTTTTTACCATATGTGTAAACGAAAAAATGCCTAGCTCTTGTAGTTGTAGCTCGTCTGCTTAGGAAGGCACATCAAAGCGTAACGCTTGATGGGTTCGAAGCTCAAGCAAAGGCCCAAAAGAGAGAAGAAAACAAAACTGTGTAAACGAATATCACATTTCTCGGATACTTGTGCAGTTGTGCTGGCTTTCATACCCATACATTTTAGTATTTATTAGACGGACGACCTAAAAGTCTAAGTCAGTGTCGACCATTGTAATATTATTGCGTATATATTTATCACCTCTACCCTATACACATTGAAACCATACCTACCTTCTTTTTTTTATGGAGAAAGTATTTAAAACCATAAGTCATGAATATTGAATCATTTACATCTATGGTTAATAAAAAGGAAGTTGGTCACAAAGATCTCTCCACGCAATCAAATCTAATTCCTAAGAATTTACCAGATAAGTTGATTGGTCCCTTTAAAAGATAATTCGATAACCAAAATCTAAGCCATCTGTTTCCATATAAACCTCTTTATGTGAAAAAAAGGAAATAATATTTGCAAGATACTTAATCGTCGTATGTGATACAATCTCATCATCCGTAATCTCCATAGTTTTCTTTCTTCCAACGCAAGTCTGCGTTTTACCTTCCATTCTGCGGATTTTTTTATAGGTAAAATAGTAAACACAATTCCACCATCCCAAAGCTTACCAATGATACAATTGGAGCAAACTTTCTTCATTTTTTTCTTCAAAAAGAATATTTCAAACATATTTTATCTCTATTTTTTATTAATTGCTAACAAAATCCTATACTTTTTAGTTTTATAAAATTTTACCTATTTATTTTATATAGAGTAATTATTCAGCCAAATTATAAATTTTATATAATTAAAAAAATTATTATATAAAGAAAATTACAATACATAATGTAAATAAGAACAAACCATGCATAATCTTATGATGTACTAGAAGACAAACCATGCATAATTTTATGATGTTCTTGTATTTTCTATATAATATATGTTATTGTATCTTTTTATTGTGTTTACTGTATTTTTACTTTATAATTTAATTAAAAAAACTAACAGTTTTAAAATTAATTGGATAAAAAAACATATACGTTTTGTTTGGGTATAAAACAAAACATGTAGAAAGTTAAAAATACATTTTGTAAATAAAAAAGTTTACCTTAAAAAAATGAAGAAATGAACACTATTCATTTCTTCATTTTGAAAGTGAATTTAAAGCACCATTGGAGAACATTTCTTCATTTTTATCTTCAAAATGAAGGAAAAAATGAAATCTGAATGACCATTAGAGATGCTCTTAGCGTCCGTATGAAGCAACCGGTTAGGTCTTGGCCTTGGTGTTAAGTAGTGTTTGCTTTCATTGACATCGTTGTTGTCCCAGGTTCCATCAGAATTAGAAAGCCATCATCAGGTCTAGTACTTGTGGATGGTCACTCTGCCTTAGGTGCTAAAGTAGCATTGGCATACCTTTTGACAAAGCTAAACAAATACGTGGAACTCCTCCGAATCAAACTATCCGGAACCAGTATTTAAAGTAAGAACCGCGCACCTTATCATTGGGTCGGATCTGTGAACATTGTTAGAGAAAGGTTTTTGCTTTAGCAATAGCTCTGACCACATACGCTCTGGTAGCTTTTGGCCTTCAAACTGTTTATACCCCTAGATCTTGTATTTCAGTGTTCATATGAATGTGAAAGCTTACATTATACCTAAGTTTATCTTTCTTGTAACTATATGTAAGGTCTTTATCAGCGCTTTTTTTTTTGTTTTTCCCTTCTCTCATCGTCTCGTGAAGAATTCAACCTTTAAAATCTGAAAAAGACCGATTTTTTTGTTTCTTTTCTTTTCCTCATTCTGAAGGATGGATTTCGACTTGTTATTTAACGGTAAATCAAAGTTATCTCTTGATGTTGATGGGTAATGGGGCAACAGGGAGGTATTATGGTGGTGACAAGTGAAAATGAGTTATAATAAATGATCGCAATGGCTTAGTTGGATCTTGCTGAAGACAATTGATGTCGATCTAATTATTCCAAGGAGAACATGTTGGGTGGTGTTATAAAACTTTTCCATTTTCTTGTACTCCCTCTATTTCTAATTAAGTTTTTCTACATTTTTTAACACATGTTAGAAAAGTAATATTTTATTATAAATGTATCATTTTTGTTATTAAACAATTTTTCATTGATAATATAAATCAATAAAATTGTTTTATTTAATTAATATTTAAAGAAAAATGCATAGAAAAAAATGTCTTTACAAAACAGATAAAAAATCTCTGTTTAAAAGAGAGAGGGAGTAAATTGCTTCCTAAAAGTCTGAAGCTATATATATGAAAACAATCGTTGTTTACTAATAGCTAAAGAAGAAATCAAAAGAGAAAATGTGGGGTGTTGCATTGAGTGTTGTTATAGCTTTAGTAGTGGTGAAAATCACTCTCTGGTTTTACAGATGGGCTAACCCTGAGTGCTCCTCCGGCAAGTTACCTCCGGGTTCAATGGGGTTTCCGATGATCGGAGAAACCATTGAGTTCTTCAAACCTCACAGTTTCTACGAGATCCCTCCATTTATCAAGAAAGGAATGTCAAGGTCGGTTCTCCATGGATCCAAGAATTTTTGTTTTTTTGTTTTTTTTTTTCATTGCTTTCATCGTTCTTTGATTGTCACTCTCCGATCCTTCAGGTACGGATCCTTGTTTCGAACGAGTATCCTCGGCTCTAAGACGATTGTCTCGACAGATCCAGAAGTGAACTTTGAGATCTTCAAACAAGAAAACAGGTGTTTCGTGATGAGCTATCCAGAAATTATCCTCAGAATCTTCGGGAAAGATAACTTGTTCTTCAAGCAAGGCATGGAGTTCCACAAATACATCAGACACATTGCCCTGCAGCTTCTTGGTCCCGAGTGTCTGAAGCGGAGATTTATACACGAAATCAACTTAACGACACACGAGCATCTAAAAACCGACTCCTCTCGAGGTGTCTTAGACGTGAAGGATACTGCTGCAAGAGTAAAACAGACCCTAACTCGATCAAGAATCAACAACTAAACTACTCTGTTTTTTTCTTTCTTTCTTTCTTTCTTTCTTTCTTATGGTTTCTTTCTGTTCGGTTGCAGTTGATACTGGGACACATGATCCAAATGGTTATTAGTGACATCAAATCTGATATTAAGAGCAAGATAATACTCAACTTGAGAAAAATCAGTCTCGAGGCTTTAAGGTCTCCTTTTGACCTTTCTATTTGGAAGGGTCTTTACAATTGTCTTATGGTAAGATCCCTTCTCAATAAGATAGCTTTGCAGCTCAGTGATTCCTTGTCTGATTATTAACACTCTTGCATCCTTTTCCCAATCCAAGGCTCGTAGAAATGTGACAAAGATGCTCAAGGACATGTTTAAAAAGAGAAGGGAAGAAGCATCATCAGATGGATTAAGATATGGAGATTTCATGGAGACAATGGTAGATGAGGTGGAGAAAGAAGGCGACAAAGTGAACGAGGAAAGAGCAGTAGAACTAATCCTAGATATACTGATTGGTTCTTCTGATACTACTTCTACTATCATTGGAATAACTGTGAAATTCATCGCTGAAAATCCGAAAGTGCTTAGGGAGTTGAAGGTAGAGAATTCTGTGAAGAAGAAAGAATTGAAGTGAGATAGTTTCATTTGTTTTATTTTTTTTCTAAAATGAGATGCTTAATTATGTTAAACAGAGAGAGCATGAGACAATCCTTACAAACAAAGATGACAAAGAGTGTGGAATCACTTGGAAAGAATACAAATCCATGATGAATTTCACACATATGGTAAGTTTTTATATCAACTCATTCCAAAACTTCATTGTGCATCCATCAATTAGTAAATTAAATCACTTGATTGATTTTTGCAATTCCAGGTTATTAATGAGTCTCTTCGTCTGGCAACTTTGGCACCAACTATATTTAGAAAGGCGGTGAGTAATGTGGAGATCAAAGGCAAGTCTGATTCTCCTTCTCTCTCTCTGATTCTCCTTCTCTCTCTCTCTCTCTCTCTCTCTCTCTATCTCTCTCTCTCTCTCTCTCTCTCTCTCTCATAAACTACAAGTTTGTCAACCAATGATCCAATTTCAGGGTATACGATTCCAGCGGGATGGATTGTGGTGGTTGCTCCATCTGTTCTTCATTATGACCCTCAAATATATGAAAATCCATGTGAGTTTAATCCATGGAGATGGGAGGGGAAAGAATTGCTTTCTGGCTCCAAAACGTTCATGGCTTTTGGAGGTGGTGCAAGACTCTGTGCAGGAGCAGAGTTTGCTAGGCTTCAGATTGCCATATTTATTCATCATCTAGTCACAAATTATGACTTCTCTTTGATTGATAATCATGATATCATTCGAGCACCAGTACTTCGTTTTTCCAAACCGATACGCATTACTATCTCTGGAACTCATTGAGGTGATCGTTATGTGGGAATCTGTTAAAATTATGCAAGTCTTTTGATATTCCCAACAAAGTAAAACAACATGTATAATATATTCATCACATGCTTTAAACAATTATAATGAATGTAAGAAGAAGCTAATTGTATCTTTGTATTAGTAGTATATATATATATATATATATATATATATATATGTGCTTGGCTTTAACAAACGACGTCGTTTCTGGAAATGAAAATAATAAATAGTAGGTCGAAACCCTAAACTGTGGCTTGTGTGTGTCGGCGATTTCTTTCTCTCCAAGATTGCGAGACTCTGACTGTCTGGATTGTTGTTTCTGCGATGAGTTTTTCTTTCCGTGTATGTGTGATCAAACGGAAGAGAATGAAGAGAAGAAGACTGCCGGAGATTCCTATGGATGTGATGATGGAGATATTTACAAGACTGCCTCCTAAATCGTTGATGAGATTCAAGTGCGTCTCAAAGCTTTGGTCATCACTCATATGCTCACGATATTTCAGCGAACGTTTCCTCACGGTCCCATCCCCTCGTCTTTACATATTTAACCACTACCACTCTGTAATCCTATCATCGGCTCCAGACACTACTACTAGCACTACTCCATCTTCATCATCATCTTCCTTTGTAGTTGAGCAAAATCTGACCATCCTAGGATAGGAAGATGCATCTCCCAAAGCTTCGGTGGCTTCGTTTGCGACAAATCGTTGAAAAAGGTGCATCTCTATAATCTTACCACCAGACAACTTGTGACCTTACCCGCCATAAAATCCTACATGATGCCTTCACGAAAATGTAAAAACCTTAGGAGTTTCCCCACCTATTATTTCGGACACGACCCTGTTAACGACCTTTATAAAGTAATCTGCTCAATTTCCCAAACCTTGATATCTAGAGAGATAACTATAATATCAGAGTATTGGGTCTTTGTTTTAAAACCTGGAGGTTCTTGGAAAAAGGTGGCTCCGCCTGATCTAGTGGACTTTTGTCCTCACGTACCTATAAGAGAAGGACTGTCTATCAATGGGGTTATATATTACCTAGCTTGGATTCATATATCTAATATTGTGGTTGTGAGCTTCGACATTAAATCTGAAGAGTTCAAAATGATCAGATTACCTCATAAAGACAGCGAAGCCCTAGAAATATGGATTCCTGACCCGGGTTTTATAGAGTATGGTGGCAAAGCAACTGTGTTTGATTACCGTTGTCTTAGAGACAATGGTATGGTGGATTTATGGGTTTTGGAAGATGCCGGGAACAAGGAATGGTCAAGGAAGACTCTACATTTGCCACCTTCTCAGCTGCATTTGGTCAAGAACATAACATTCAAGGTAAACGGTGCAACTCAAAATGGCAAGGTGATCTTGATACCTCTAGGGAATTTGCTTTCTCCCTATCACTTTTTATGTTATGATGTCAAAAAAAATGATATGAGAAAGATTGAGATCAAAGGTATACCTGACCACTGGTTTCGTAAGTACGAAGATACTGGTTCTGTTAGCTTGATGTTTATGGACCAGATCGTGAGAGCGTCTTCTACTTGGAGACTTGAATTTATCCTTTCTACCTCTAATGCATGCTTTTTGTGTGTTTAGATTAAAGAACACAGCTGATTTGTTTATTGGTTTTATGATATTAAAGAGCACTCTCTCTTGAAATAAGCCACTTCCATTTACACATCTACCTAGCTCTCTGGCTGAATCGTTTGTCTTTCTTTTTTTTTTTGTTATAATACTAACAACATAATTTCTGAAATTTTGTTCCGTTCTCTCTTCTTTTACTTAATTACAACAATCCTTATATTTGTCTAAGACCGAAGAAGGGTTATAATAGCAGTCAAATTATAGAATAGCGTATTACCAGCTATAATAATTAACCAGTAAATAATTTTCTATCAAGAAAATATAAGGTAGAAATGAAAAGCTTGTAAGAACTTCGTTTCACTGTTTTAACACTACAAGTGTGTTTCAAGAATGAATGTGTATTATGTGTGTGTATCAGTGTATATTTTGAATATATGTGCTATCATAATCATAATCATGATCATCATATCAACATTCTATTTTTCATTTATCCTGGAAATTCTATCTGAACACTAAAAGTTTTTTCTTCAGTTCCTCCTCTGTTTCTGGTTTAGGTCAGTGTAGAGTTTGAAGACGCAGATGCAATTTCTTTCAGATATTTCTGCTCTGATCGAGACATTCTTTTCTGAAACATTGTCCATTCCCTTTTACATCTCTCCCTTACCTGACCAAAACACATATTCAATAATTGACAAAAAAAAAAAAAAAATTGATCTAAAACCCGACTAATCAAGAACCCTATAAGTAGATAACGCTAGAAAATAATCGCGAGTTCGAGTTATTACCCCTTGGAATGCGGATTTACCATTTTGCGCGGTTCCCTGATAAATGTATCAAGGGATAATCTCATGGTGAAAATTTTGAACAATGAAGCTAATATTTAAATATAGAAATGTAAATATTTTGATCATCTATATACCTGGCCTGTTAAAGAAGGAATCTTTTGATGAATGATCCATTGAGAATCCACAACACCAATCTTCTCATGTGCAGGCTGTTTTATTGTATCAAGAAAATGCTTTTTCTTAGTTTCTCAAAGAGTTTTATGACAATAAAAATATATACGCATTTGTGAGTAAGTTATATTTGTTATCTTAACCTCGACACATTTCCTTAGCGCAAAATCAAGACCCCAACCGTGAACCAAGTCGTTCTGAATCATATGCCACACGCAGCGCCACGAGTCTCTTGAGAAAACGGGAGCCATAATCTCTATAAACCTAACAAACAATAATCGTAAAAACCATTAGACTAAGCAAGTTGGAATATTTACTATGTATAAATTTTGGTTTTCAAACAAAACGAGATCCATACCCTGCACAGGGCGGTAAGTGAGGGTCCTTGCAGTGACCTGGTTTCTCTTTGACTTCTCTGTGACATTTTTTTGGCAAGAACACAAAATTTCTTAGTTACTTTAAACATAGGAATTGACATTTTTGAAGTGTTAAGTTTTTTTACTTGTGAACTTCGATTCCGGGTATTCTTTTTGTTATCTGCCATGTGATGGGTTTTCTTGATTCCACACCGGGTTGCGATATTTCAAGACCATGCTTCTTTACAAGCTTGATGTACCTGCAAGATGAGGAAACTTTCTTAATAACTTCTGACTAAAATTCTTGGAGATAGAAAATAAATCAAAAGAAACAGAGAGACCCACTCTTCTGCATCGAAGTTTTCAACGCCAAGATCTTCATCCCAAATGAAAATGTATTCATATGGTGCTATAATGTCGGGATGCAGAAACCTTTTAGCATACCACCTTCAATGGTGCCAGAGAGTTGTTTAGAAAAAAGCTTTAGACGTGAGGATCAATGAAAACGTAGAAAGACAGGTAAGAGGAAGTTTTGTTACCACTTGGTTTGCTTAGGGACACTCACGTGTATTGCTCGTTTAGACCATTCAAATTCATCATATTCCGAGGTTCTTCCATCGTAATGAAACAGAACAATAGTGAAATTATCTGAGAACTGTTGAGAGACTCTTAGCTTTTTCTTCTACGGAAAAATCAGAAAGAAAAAAAGGAAGAGAGCAAAAGAGAGAGACATACTTTCTTGACACAAGCATTGATGTTTTTTCTCTGTTCATAAGAAACGGTAAAAGCAACAAGATACTTAGGCTTCACCACCGGTAAATCCTAAAGAAATAATAAAAAAAAACAAAAACATGATTCAGACAGGTCAAAGACTAATAGATGTCCAAAGATCGTGTTAAAACTAGGATCATACATCTTTAGGCAATCCCCACAATCTTCTCAAGTAGAAATCCGATTCAGCTGCAACAAAACTTGGAGGCAACATCTCTGCACCTCGAGGATTTGATGGAACCCAAATCTGCAGAATCCAACAGATCTTGTAACTAATCCACAAAACACTCAAACTCGAGATCAATCATGTTCAAATGAAGGAAAAAAAAACACACACCTTATGAAATGCTGCATCACTTGACTTAAGCCCTTTTGATGGACTCAATGTAGCTGATTTCTCCAGTTTCTCATCTTCAACATGAACAATATTAACAGAAGGAAGTATACTTGATGGAAAATTCATCTGCCACAAATTTAGTAATTTTTTTTATTAAGATATCTTTACAAATCAGATCAAAACATTAATAAATTACTGAAATAAAGTAAAATTAAAAGCTTACTTTAGTTAGTGACAATGTAGGGAAAGATATTCCTAGTAAAAATCCGATAACTATTCCTGCAAAAGTCGCTGTGAGGAGCATAAAGCCGTCATTCGGTCTTTTACTAATCGAACTGCAAAAAAAAGAGAACAATATGAATCATAACTTTTATAAATAACTCAACAAGTCAAGACTCAATAGTCACAAACCAGCGTAGTGAATTCTCTGTTCGGTTTGCCATGTTCTGAAATTGGTTAAGTTGACTAGAAACAATTTCATTCAACGGAAGCTTCAATCTCCGTGACTTTGCTACCTGCATCATGTCAAAATAATGAGATCCAAGTTAGAAAAAAAGTTCTGGCCAAGAACCACAAAATAGAAATGAATGTATTTCATTGAAATAATAACACTGTGAGCTATCTTTGTAATAAATTACGTACCCGTAATCAACAAAGTAAGACAAATGACAAATTTCACAAGTTATGAACTTTGTTTGGGAAAGTAAACAAGGAATCGAAAGTTATAAAAGAGACAGTAATTTCTAGATTCAGACATAAGAAGGGGTTTAAGAAGATAAAAACATAAAGACACGTTACTCTTTGAAACGAACACCAAATTTTGATCAACAAGTAAAAATGACTTTTATTTTAGTTTGATCATTTTTCCAAGCAACAGAGAAAGATCGATGAACCAAAAAAAAACACGTTTAAATAATTAAGCAATAGATTTACCAGGAAGGAATTAGAAAAGAAAAGAAAAAATCTAAAAAAGTCTTCGTCTTCTTCGAAAAGTATGATGAAGTTGTCTGAGCTTTGTTCGTTCTTCGCGGGTTTAATAAAACAAACTAAAAAACTAAAAAATGGAAACAGAGTTGTGTTGTGTCATGTGTGTACAGAGAAGTTGTAATCAGGTGTGACGCGAGGCACGGGAAGGAGTTGACTTTGAAGAAGCTCGTGGAAGGAGGGTGACTCTCACGAAGCAGCCAGACTGGAACACGATCCAGGTGTTGATTTTTAAGTGGATGAGATTTTCTATTAGATGGGCCATGTGCCTCTCCTAACTAAGTGGAATGAAAAAATATTAATTTTCTTGAATGGCATTACTGCCCTTTCCGAATATAGGAAGGTCTTAGGTGAAGTGGAGGCGACGAAATCATATGAGGTTGAAACAACTATAGGAAGAATTGTCCGATTAGTATACCATCCTCCTAATAAAGCCATGAGGAGTTTTGTGGCCATTAAGAAAGGATGAAAATGGTAAATAATAAAGATAATAAATGATGGTTGAAAATTGAAATGATCTCTTGAATGGAGTTGAAATGTTTTTTGAAGATTACCAATAAGATAAAAACAGTTGGAAGAGATATTAAGAACATAAGTTAGCAGTTAAGATTCATCTAAAGTTTTATCTAATTTAAATGATGATCTTTAACCTTTTTAATAGTATCATTTTCTCTATAATCATCCAAAAACATCTAACCACACTGTTTGAAATTTGATCATCCTATGATTGATGATATACATTTTCAATTTCTTATTGTTTGTTTTAACCAATTATTTAAATCGTTGGCTATATATCTTCGTTCTATTTGTCCACCCAACTGGTAACGGTGACAACAATAAAAAAGTTTCAGACTACAACGTTATGAAATTTTGCTATTTTAGCTATCTAACTTGATATATCTTGCAATTTACAAATGTTACCTCCACCGCATTTCCATAAACTATATATATTAGAAAATTCAAATATAATATGACAGGTAGTTGCGATTTCATTTTCATGAGCAAATTCTCGCAAGTATAGACAGAAATGAAGAAAACCAATATATATTATAAAGAGTCCAAAAAGCTTTATTAGTCCCCATTTTCAAAGGTCACTTTGGTCATATCTATCTGGTGCAGACAAGTTTAAGAGGAAGAGAAGGATCTGAAAACGCCCCGCCGTTTATTTGCTGAAAGATCCAACGGTTTGCCGTTTCAGTGAAATGCACTCCGTCCCAGCTAACTCTCGACGACACGTCGGTACAAGACTTGGCAAGAACAATCTCTTTCCCTTTCACCATAACTTTAGCTCCACATTTGATAAGCTTGTTGAAATTATACTTGCCACCATGTCCACAACAAGCCACCAACGGATATTTAAAACCTAAATTCAACATAGTAATAAACCATTAGAACCGGTCTTAACCGAGATTGAGTCACCTATTGTTTGTTTGGTTTGAAATACCAAGTTTCCTGGCTTGAGTGATGAGAGTAAGCTTGATAGAGTAAACATCAACATAAGTAATTGCAGCTTTAGAAAGCTCTTTTCTTAACCCAATCACTCTTGTTTTGAGCTCGGAATTGAAATACCGAGCAATCTCGTTGCGGGGAATCGCACAACCGTGACTATCGATTTGAGAGGCCGGTACAGGAAACCGGTCCAAAACATACGGTAAACAACCGATTGGAGCTGTGTTGTGTATCCAAAATCTTCTTCCTCCTTTCATATACACCTTCTACAGAAATTAAAGACGGTTAATTCAGTTAATCAAAAGTTATATGTACATCTAGTTAACTGTACTACTCTTTGCTTACACGAATTGCATCGGAGAGTTGATCGAGAACATCTGGAATGTAAGCCTTGATTTGATCTGTTGTCATGTTGAGTTTTAATCCTGCTGTGAGATCGTTTTGACCGATGTCGAATGTGTACAATGCTTGAGAAAAATACTCTTTTCTAGGAAGTAATTGCTTGAACACTCCACCTATATTTTCAACACAAGACACGAAACCGGATTATAATCAAAAGCTAAGAACTTTACATGTTGTTGAATGTTTTGGGATCAAAAGGTTGAAGCTTTTGAGTACCTCGATTGCGAATGAGTTGTGATCGTGTGAAGAAATCGGAGAATTGAACCAATTGAACGTCGAGAGAGATTGGACTCACACCGCTCTGAGAAATGGTCGTGTTTGGTGGCCGGACGGTGGAGCCAGCGGTGGCGAAATTGGCACCATGGCTGAAGTTAGAACCGATGGAGTCTAAGAAGGCATTTAGGTATGGTAACCCTAATTCCTCCGCTGATTTCAACAATTAAGAAAAAAAGGATTCAGATGGGTCACTAGAAAGCTAAGTAAAGATTCCAAATTTGTCAACGACGAGTTGTAAGGATGTGTGCAAGGCAAGCACCTATGAAGTCAACGATGAGTCGACCATCTGAGAAACGACCGGAAGGGGAGTGGAAGAAGGTTTGACCATTAGGATAAGGGGCCTGTCCGAAGGCGGCGGAGAGGCCACCGGTGTCGGAATTAGAGTCGCCGAAGTTGAAGATCGCCGGGAAACCACAAGTCGGAGAGCAAACTCGAGGATTTATGAGAAATGATGCTAATGAGACAAACGATATCAGGAACCGTTGAGTTTGCATTACTCTTTTTGTTTTCTTCTCTCGAGTTCCTCTTCCGGTAAAAGCTCTCGCTTGGTTTTGTTAATAAGAGCCAAAACATGGAGAAAAAATTCAGTATTAGTGTACTACTTTGTTGCTATAAAATAATGAAGTCAAATGTTTACGCTAATCTCGGCAGAACTAATGTGATCTTTATTTTTTTGAACGACTAAACTAATGTGTGATCTATTAAGTCTTTAATTATGTTAAAATTGTTGATTCACAAGACCATCTAAATGATGTATGCTTACAAATTATTCAAGTGGAATTCGAGCATCTATTTGACTATATAGAGAAATATAAATTGCCAAAATTAAGAATCAAAGATGGGTCACGAGCAAGAGACGGAGGAGACGCAAGAGGCACGAAGAGAACCCACAAAGAATAAAGAGGACGTCCATAAACTAGACAAGCCACCAGCGACCATGGCTTATAGAAACTTCTTTAATCGAAGAAAATATTGGATGTGACTTGAACTATGACACTAGTTGCACAAGGATCATTATTTTCCCTGAAAATGGTAAGACACATTCTTTGCTCATGAAGGGAGATGTTTGAATTCCAGTAGCCAAGTATCAGCAATGTATATTTCCCAATTCCATCTCAAGTTTTATAGACCGGTCGTTATTTCTCAGCTAAACCCAAAGTATCAGATGATCCTGCATCATTTACCAGAATCAATAAACGGCATAATCCCCTAACATAACAGCATTTGAATTTTACCAAATGTCGACCCTCGATATTTCCGCAGGGATCAATCACACGTACCTGAGGCTTTTGCAAATTTGGTGTTAGGGGATAACCCAGGGATTCATTATGATAAGCATAAAGTAGCACATCTCAAATTGTGTCTCAAACCACAAGGTTTCCATACGGACCAACATATCAAAAGGAGAGCACTTAAGGAACAAAGCCGACTCTTGAGTTTAGGGCCAAAACAGAGACACATCTTCTTTCTTGAGCTATCCAAATACATTGAAGAAAAACAGACCATCCAGCGGAACTTCAACTTCGCACTTGACAAGAGAGCCGAAAGCAGAAACCTTCCACTCCTTTCCTTAACTGCAAAAAATATATCAAAACAGTCCTCCACTTATTAGTCTGTAGCATTACCATTTTTGACAAGAAACTATAGAAAAAAATTGATTAACCAAAGCAAAAGATGCATCCATACCCTCTGGAAAAGAATTCTAGTGAAAGCCACCAGCTCTGGGGCGGTCATACGGAGCACGGCTGTGCCTCTCACCTCCTGGACCTCCACGGCTGCCACCATCCCGGCTACGTCCTCCAGAACGTTCTCCACTGCGATCAGGCCCATAGCGACTACCTCCACCATCCCTAGCACCATCCCTACCATACCTATCATCCTTTGCACCATACCTATCGTCTTTTGCACTGTACCTATCATCCTTTCCACTGTACCTATCATCCTTCCCACCATACCTATCCTCCTTGGCACCGTACCTATCTTCTTTTCCACCGTACCTATCATCATTTCCACTGTACCTATCGTCTTTTCCACTGTACCTTCCCCCACCACCTCTACTAGTTTCAGAAGGACACTCCCTTGCAAAATGTCCAGGCTTGCCACATTTAAAGCAATCTCCACCACCTGAACCTCGTCCACCACCAGAGGGACGGCTACGGTCACGGTCATATCCGCGATCACCACGACTACGGTCACCATCATGATCTCTGCCTGACCCACCTTGATGTGGCTGAGCTTTATCAACAGTTATTGTTCTCCCGTCTAAATCCATCCCATTCATTGCTGCAATAGCTTCATCCATAGCTTTTTTCTCATCAAAGGTGATGAACCCAAAACCACGGGAACGGCCAGAAAACTTGTCAAGAACCACCTGTATCAAAGATAAGGTCATCCATCTCTCATGAGAAAGTTATATCTAAATGAAAATAAGCTAGACATTATAAAGTTCAACCAAATGAATCGTAGCTTCATCATCGCAGCAACTAGAGCAAATAGCCACTAAATAGAGAGTAAAATAATTACCTTGGCCTCAAGGAGGTGACCGTACTTCTCAAAGGCATCTCTGAGGCCACGGTCAGACGTTGACCACGCAAGCCCACCAATGAAGCAGCGGTACTCTGGATCTTCTGACATTCTCTAAAACAAGCTGCCAAATTTCGTTTTGAAGAACATAAATATGATTCCAAGAGAATCCAATAAGCGTATCCTAAGATCCTTTACAGCAGCTAAAGAAATAAACTTATGACATAAGATCCTGAAGATAATATATACGATTCAGATCAACAGTGTGAACCAAATCTGAACTTGTTCTCTAACATGATAAACAAAACAACAGGATACAAAACTAGGTTACGCGGTTGTGAGATGCAAACATGAAGCTAATTTCAGTTGATATCTACTAGCAAATCACATATTTCGAATTCGTAATTGCGCAAAGCTTTGGTTGACGATGACGACAAACATACAAGCGAACAAATAGTTCAGTATAAGCATAGTGAAACAATAAAACAAATCGTACCAGAGAGAGCTGAGAGTATGAGATCTGATCGTGGTTTTGCGACGGAAACCTAATTTCTGGAGAGAGGAGAAGCTGCAAAGAAACTTTGGGAAACACACATATGAAGCAAACGCTAAAAAGTCCTATCGTATTCTCGCGGTGGTCCTTTCGTCGTTTCACAACCATTAATGGGCCTGAATAATGGGCTTTGTTGGGCCTGTGTAGAGGGTTTTCAGAGAGGTTTTAGTCGCCGTCGTCTTCGTTTCGCCGTCTTCGTCTTCTTCTCAGGTCTCTTGAGTCTTGACGAATTAGGGTTTTTGGGTTCTGGGAGAAGAAGAGATGTGGTTTCTGTGTGTTTTCTATCACAGACTGTTAGACTTCAGAAAGCCAGAGGTTGAGGCTTTGGCCGAGCTCTTCGGAGAGGAGATTGCAGACAATGAGTCTCTCCAATGGCGTCTTCCTGAACATCACCATAACGATACTCCATTCCACTTCGTTCAGCTTTCTTCTGAGGAAATCGCCCAGAACATTGCCAAGCGAAGTACGATTTTTATCTCTTTACATTTCTTCCTTTAAATTGGTTGTTTCACAAAACACTAAAGAAATTTGGGGTTAGTGTAGGCATTTTGGTGAAAGGGATGTATGAGCTTTGGGGTGAAGGAACTTGCTATGAAGAGCTTAAAGACTCCATTCAAAGCTACCCTGATTCTCGAAAGCTTCCATTTCTCAGTTCTGGTTCCACCTTTAGAATCTCCGTCGAAACTTTCGGAAAGGCTCTGACTTTCGACGAGCAGAAGGATCGGATTAATTCACTTACTTATATCCCATTCGAGGTCTGATTCCACTCCCATGAAAGAATTGTTTTTTTTTTTGTTGGGTTTAGTCTCTTTTGGTGTTGATTCCTTTATATGAACACATTTGGTGATTTAACTATTGCAGGGAAGGGTGAACTTGAAAAACCCAGATCACAATTTTTTCCTCATGGAAATGGATGAATCTGAAGAGAACAATGGACTTCCACCTATTGTCCAGAGAAGAATCTTTTTTGGGAGAGAGGTTGGTTTCGCTGATAGGAAGCTTTTACCGACTTTTCAGTTGAAATCTCGGACTTACCTTGGCCCGACTGCTATGGATGCTGAAATGGCTTTCTTGATGGCCAATCAAGCTAAAGCTACATCTGGAAAACTTGTGTATGATCCTTTCGTCGGTACAGGGAGCATTCTTGTTTCTGCTGCCCGTTTTGGCGCAATGACAATGGTTTGCAACCTTCCTCCTTCAGTTTCTTGATTCCCATTTGCCCCTTTATTTTCATTTGCTGTTTCGGTTTCTGGATTTAAAACTGACAGAAGAAGGGTTATTGTGTTAGGGTGCAGATATCGATATCAGAGTAGTGCGTGATGGACGTGGTCCAGACTGTAATGTTTGGAGCAATTTCAAGCAGGTTTGTTCCGTAACTGCTCCTGTTATGTTTCGTTATTTCCTTTTTTGATATCTTGGATTCTTAAATTAATGATTGTTTCTGCAGTATGGACTACCTATGCCAGTAGCTTTACTTAGAATGGATAATAATCTTCCTCCTTGGCGTTCCGGGCTAAAGGAGGTAATACTCTCTCTCATTACTTTCATTATTATCTCTGTCGAGATCACCAATTTATGTCTTTTGTATCCATCGGTACAGATATTTGATGCAATTATCTGTGATCCACCTTACGGGGTTCGAGCTGGTGGACGCAAGTCCGGTGGCAGGAAAATCCTTAGAGGGACAGTGGATCCTTACACCGTCCCTGATGACAAGAGAACAGATCACATTCCATCCACTGGTGCGTACAGTCTAGTGGAGTGTGTTCATGATCTGCTTCACCTTGCTGCAAGAATGCTGGTGATGAAAGGCAGGCTCGTTTTCTTTTTCCCGGTTTTGAGAGATGAGAATGGCAGTGAGGTCAAGTTTCCAGAGCACCCGTGTTTCAGGCTAGTCGCTGTCTCCGAACAGATCCTGAGCTCGCGATACAGTCGGGTTTTGCTAACAATGGTGAAAGTAGAGCCTTATAGTGAAGAGGTTGAGGAAGCTGCTCGTTTAATGCATTTAGAGTTTAGAGAGAACCATCTTAAGTGGTTAGAGGATGGTAATATTCATTCCTCTGTGTTTAAACCTTCTGACTCTTCTCAGATTCACGCTGATTCCAAAACCTTTAAAGATCCAAAACCTAAGTATAGAGGGAAGTATGTGTAAGCTCACTTATTATCTGTTGTGTATTCCTTCGGTTTATGCTGAACGCTTGCGTTTTGACTTTCTTGTTGTGGAGACCATTTCCATTTCCAATACAAATCAACTTTCAGGGTTACTGGCAAAACAAATGTGTTAAGAAATACATAACAGAAGAGATGAGAAACCATAATTTACTACAAAAAAATATAACAATCAATTCGAGAAAGTATAACAGAAGAGAGACAATCTCTTGAGACACACGCCTTCGCTGCGCAGAAGACCAAAACAAAACAACGAGGCTCCGATTCCGAGGATGGACCAACCAAAAAAAAAGAACAAAGATTAAGGTTTTTTTTTTCTTCAAGGAGATGATAATATTTTATTAATATAAATTAACGCTTCTCTAAGTCTTCTTCAAAATCTGGGGATTGTGTAGTAGTAGTAGTTAAAACATCCCACCCACATTTGGTTCTTCGTTTCCTTCTTACCATCCAGACGAGGACCTGTCAAAAAACCCAAGATTTGAAAAATTAATATGGCATTGACTGGCCATTTCTGGTTAAGTTAAAGACATGAACCTAAATGCAACATCTTTGTACCAAATGAGATTTAGATAGTAATGGACTAACCTGTTGCTGAAGAATCCACGCTCTTTGCTTCCTTGGAAGTTTCTTCGCTGCTCATCGACAGGTCTAACCCAGGCATCAATGGCGCCACGTGATCTGGGTCTCTCTGTGGATTCAAAACTTCTGGATTCATCTATTGATCCAGACCGGGAATGTGTTCTTTCTGAAAATGAACCTGTTCTGCCTGCACCAGACCCGGGTCTCTGCCTGAACCTGACTTTGTCGTCCAACTCGCGGGTTAGTATTTCCAGATCTTTCTCTTTCCCGCGTATAGTTTCAGGTAAGTCATGGTGATTATTATTACTGTCGCTTTCTTGATCAGATTCCTTGATCTCTGGAGCAATGGATTCCTTCTCGAGTTTTTTCCTTAGTTCTTCAATCTCTTCCTTCAACATCTTCTCTTCTTCTGTTTCAGGCCTGGAAAAGTTGGTTATCACAATACAGAGATCAAACAGCCGCTTGTCATAAAAGCTAAAAAGAGAGCATCGCAGAGCTCGTAACATAAGAACCAAACAAGATGCATCTCAAAACTTTCATTCAGGCAGAGACTATAACATGCATAAACAGAAGGTAAATTCTAGACCCAAGAGAAACAATCAGAGCTTATCTAACAGGCTTTGGCACTCAATCAATCTCAGGCCTAAACCCTAAACCCAAAATAAAAAATGACAATGTCAAAAAGAGCTCCATTGAAAGAACATCAATGAGTCTGAAAGATATGCAACGAGTAGTGAGTACCACACATTTTCAGAACTTAACATCATGTAGAGAGATTTGGAACTGATATACGCTTCAGACATGTTACCAAAACAAAACCACGAAAGTACACGGAATCTCTTCAAATAAGAGCCATTAAGGATCTGTCACCTAGAGCAGAAGTAGCAAAACTATTTTAAGTTTTCATTTCCATACATTTTAATTTCCTACAATCATCCAACTACCTAAAGATTGACCAGCATCATAATGCATCACGCATTTAAATAGTGCTTCAATATACCATACTCTCTGATTTAAGCACTGGTCAAGCAGAAAATCACCACGCAACTTAAGAAAATGAATATTCAGATAGCTCCAGCGACATAGAATTAAAACGTATCCACAATCCTTAGTTAAACTCAAAAAGATCAAGATGAATAAGGACCTGTCAACCCTGCGATGCTCGAGTTCCATATCCATCTTGCGCCAATCCTTCCCTTGTTCCTCCAGCAACACTTCGCGAGGCTTCGCATCGCCAAAAGGATTCACCTTTGGTCTCGGTTTCACCACATTATTCAATCCTGAACTCTCAGACCTGTTTGATTGAGCACTAGAAGGTCTGCTCGATTGTGCACTCGTTGGCCTACTCGTTTGAGAACTTCCTTTCTTAGCCTCAATCTCCGAATCAAGCTTCTTCCAGTCCAAACCTTTCTCCGCCAATACATCCTCTCTTGGTCTAGCTGCCCCAAAAGGGCTCGGCTTACTCGACTTCGCAGCAGCTGGAGGAATTTCGCTTGCTCCTGAGTCCACCTTTCGTGGTTCCAAAACCAGGCGACGACGCTCCTCCTGAACACCACCTCCGGCGACTCCTCTGGACCAACGGTCAGATTCCCGGCCTGAATCACCGAAACTGGACCCATATGTAGATGATCTAACCGGAGCTTGCTTTTTACCTGCAGCCCAATTATCAGTTTCGTCAGCTTTGGAGAAGCCACCTCCACCTCCAACTCCACCGCCAAAACTACCACCACCTCCGCCACCGCCTCCAAAACCACCACCACCACCGGCTCCGCCTCCGAGGCCACCGTAACGACCCTGTCGTCCTTGATCGAAAGACGGAAGAGGCTTCTTTGCTTTACCCCAATCATCAACCTCGTCAGCTCTCGAAGGTTGCGGAAAATCTGAAACCCTAGACGGATTCCCCCTCCGGTCATCATCAAATCCGCCGCCGTAGGGTCTCCGGCCACCACCTCCACCACCCCAAGACCCATCGGAATCATCTCGATCTCTCCCCATTCGACCAGGAGGCCCACCAGAACGACCGCCGTAAGACGAGAATCCACCGCCTAACCGCCCAGGTTGCATTTCGTCCTCCGAGCGTTGCCTAGGACCAGTCGGTAGCTGAAGAATCTCTTGCTGCGTCAATCCAACAGAATTTCTACCTCCAGGTGCTGTGTAAGCACCAGAGGCAAACTCCGAGAGAGTCATCTTCTTCTTCTTCTTAGACTTGACATTATTCGCAGCCTCCTTCAGGCTAGGAAAGCTCTGCACATCCGCCGCAGTCGCCGTAGCTTCCGCCACTTGCTCTTCATCGGCACGCTCCGCTTCATCTGCCCATGCCCCAATCCCAATTCCACCCCAAGGTTTCGACATCCAGTTTAAATCAGAATCAGATAAATTCCCAGATCTGAAAACACGAAAGGTGCTTGTGATCTATTTCTCGAGGAACAGGAAATTTTTCGGAAATGGAAAAGTAAGAAGATCTAGGGCTCCGAGGAAAGCTTAATCCACAGAAAGAAACCGTCGAGAAAATTATTCCTTTTGCGTGAAGATGAAATTTTTTTCTGGGGAAAATCATAAAAAAAAATGGGATTTATTCCTTTTGAAGCTGTTATTGCATGCTTCTGAACGAAGGAGAGATAGACGGAATATCGAGTACCACGCGTTAGAGAAGCACGTGTGTTACACGAACCAATCAGTAACGAGAGATGGATGGAAGTTACGGCTCGAGCGTGTAGTCACGTGACGTGTAAGCAAGTGAGAAGTGACGGTTGACTTCAATCAAATGAACGGTCCTAAATGTATCATTTTGTTTATAAAAGAAACATGTATTTGGAAAAAAATCATTATCACTAGAGATGAAATATCCTTTAGTTGTGAGCAGTGTGATATTGAAGCATAGATTATATATAAACTCCTTTATTGTTGTTGTTTTATTAAGCTAATAAAGATGTAATATCACTAGATAGAATGAGAAAGGAGGTCGTATGTAGAAGGTAAAAGAAAAGCTTGTTGATCTGATATAGTCATGCATGGCTACATCGGAGAATGAAGAGAGCAGGACCATGAGATTCGACTTGAATAGAAACTGAATCTTTTGTTGGTCCGAAATCTTTGCCGCTCCATATCTCGTGGCTCTTACACGAAGCTCCTTGAATATTCTGCTTGTTCTGAAGAGCCTTGGCAATGTCTGATATCTTGGCTGATATTGTTGTCTTCAAAGGGTTTAAGTTGAAGAAGGCGACATATATTTCACCTCTTCTTCCCGTGGCAATCCAAGAACGAACTCCATTGGAGCTAGCTTCGGCTGCAAATGAATTTAAATTTAATGCCAAAGATTAGAAAAGGGGAAATGTCGAAGAAACAGAGAGGATAACTTAGTTGATTTGAAAGAGAACAAACCTTTCACTGGATTTAACACGGCGCAAAGACCGGAATAACTGTTTTCTAGTGTTCCATTACTGTGGAGCTCCCACATCTGAAGATTTTAGCGCGTGTGTTATATGAAAGTGAAGATGTAAGAATATCAATGGTAATTAATAGCGAGAGAGATCGAGAATCGTTGTTGTACCTGGTTTGCATCGAGTTTGCAAGGTGATAACGCACCTCGACTATAATCTTTGGAAGTGAGCTTTTGCTTCGAGGAAGCTCCCAAACAAGACTCTGCTTTATCATTTGTTTGTAAATGAAGCTTTCCTTGATAAAGCTGGTTGTGTTTCATCTCCTCATCGCTGCACCAAAATGAAGCAGATAAATTGGTCACGGGAGGCTTATGAAATGTAAAGTGAGTGGAAGAAAAAGGTTTAAGAGAAAGAAGAGTCATACGAAGCTAGTAGAGCTTTTCTGTTGTATAAGCAAAAGTTCTTCTCTGGTTTTTCGCTAGAGTATTGGTTCCAACAGATTTGTCCACGGTTCTTGTCTACAATGGACCAAGTGTTGGCTTTTGGTTCTTTGCAGCTAGTGAGACCAAACGCATGTTTGGTTGATATGTTGTTGGCCGTTGGATGATGAGGATGGCTTTTGTGCATATTCCTAGATACTCTTGTCGCGGTGATGTATGGAAACTGTAAGAAAAGAAATAGGCAGAGTTTGATGACAGAAGTCTTCGAAATACAGAGATGAGTTTTGAGGTTATGATTCAACAAACCTCCTTGTTATTAGAGCTATAAGAATTTATTTCCAGCAGTGTAGGATTTGTGATCAGATTATAAGTGGCGTCATCAAGCTTTCTCACATCACCTCCAAACATGAGAGGGGACTTTGCAATAGACCACAATGTCATCTGAATGATAAGCAAAAAGAGCCTAAGAGACATGCGATATATGGTTTTAATGATTACTGATAAACTATGCACTGTGTAGCTAGAGTTATACCTGTGTCTTTTGTTCTTCCATGTTAAGATTACACGCTCGATGAGGTCCGAAGTTTGAACCTGGATCAGTAAGCCATCCAAGAGGTAACATATCTAGGTCTGGCCATGATTTTCCTTGTAACCCTCGTGCACCGATCATACTAGAAGCAGACATATCCCTGGAAGAATTCCAAATTATATGAAATCAAAGAAGGCTAAAAACTCGGCAACAGGATTTCCAGCTAAGTTAATGCACATGAAGCTAGACCTTGAGATATCGAAATGTGCCACCACGTCTTTCCATGTGTCCCAATCATCACCTGTTATTCTGTACATGTTAACCAATTGGCTAACTTCTTTAGCCATTGTAGGTGTCACACTCGCCCCTGGAGATATGGAGTACAATACAGGCCGATCAAGCTCCTTCAGAACCTGCAAACAAAAAAAAACGAATTCCATTTCTATGTTACCTCTGACTTTACCAGAAGATTTTAGACAGTACAAATAAGAATTAACATACCTCTGACACAAAAGTTATCTCCTCTATATTGGAGTCAGCACCAAATACGCAGTCATGTTTTACTGAAGACCAAGAAAATGAGACAAGATTGAGATATTCAATATATTGAACTGAGACAAGATAGTTATGTAAATAATGTCAATTCTCTTACTGAAATCGACGCCCCATTCAGCATATTGTCGATAAAGAGACCTCAGGAACGCTTTTCCTGCACCTAACTTTGTATTCACACTCATGAACCCATGTGACATCCACACACAAGCCTTCTCCTTCATCCCAATATCTTTCGCCCGCCACTGTCTACCCAATTCTTCATAAGCACCTCCCTGAGGCACAAAAAGGTAAACAATCACCAAAAAGGAAAAAGAAAAGATCCAAACTCTCACTTTCATACAAACTTTCAAATCAAATACCTTAACACTGTCCATAACAAGAGTGTTTGCGTTATAAGCCTGTGTGCTTATTCCTCCCATAACATGAATCCCAAACTTCAAACCCATTCCATGAACTTTCTCAGCTACTTGGGTGAAACCTTTGCCGCCTCTAGAAGATGGCCATCTTGCTGGATCAGGATGCATCCTTCCCCATTCATCAATCACATCATACCCAAGAGAGTCCACATAAGCTCCTTCAACTTTCTTTCTATACCAAAGGTAATCCACCACAACATACTGTATCCAATCCACACACACACAACACAGGATGTTAAACAAAAACCCAAAATATCACATTCCAATAACTCAGTTACAGAGAATTAAAAATCCAAAATTTCAACTTCCAAATGAAGAAGAAACTCAATTAGCCATCCAAAGACGGGTCCATTTCATTTTGAACACTTAAGGGTTTTTGGTGTTTATGCAAATACCTGATACCCATGAGGAAGAAGACGCTTTGAAATGATTTCAGCGCTTTGCAAGAACTCAGCTTCAGAGATAGTCCAGCAAAAGGAATCGTACGAATTCCATCCTCTTGGAGGAAAGCTCGCATGTTCGTTCGACCTTGCGTTAATCGGTAAACTGAAATTTCGCGATCGATCAGAGAAAGAACATTCAACTTACAATCAGAGCCAAAATCAGAATCGACCCAACACAACAAGCTTGAAATTTTCAAGACGGATGAGGTGAAAAAAAAAAAAACACAGTAGAGTGAAGCGAAGAAAAAAGTGGAGTACCTATAAATGGAAAGATGGAGGATGATGAAGAAGACAATGAACCGAATCGACCCGGTTCTCTCAAGGGATTGTCCGATCATAGTGATGAGACCCGATTACGATGCCTTCTTTGTGTTTTAATTTGTTTCTCGATTTTGCTTCCTCTTATGTGTTGTTGAGAACCTGAGAGACTAGAGCACGCGATTCTCGTTAATGGCGGGTACTACTACTAGTTAGCGTGACAAGAATTAAGAAGAGATGTAATTCTTTTAAGGATTAGATTAGTAACCGTTGAACTATTGTAAGAGAAATTAAATGATACAAAGAAAAACCTATTTTCAGAAAAGAACTTTGCGACTTTCTCACACACTGTTTTGTCATATCTCAAAAGTCTTTTTTGCATGTTTTAGCAAACTGATAAAAGACTATATGCATGCACCTGAGAGATGACAAAAGACTAAAGAGGAACATATGTTTCTAGGTTTCAATGAGTTGTACAAGTGTAAAAAAGATTATTTGTAAGAGAGAAAACAGAACCAGCATAAGAAATGTAGGTTTTTTTCGTTTTTTTTGAAGTTCATCACTTGTAAGTTGTAACTTCAAGTTCTAGTGGAATTCCAGATGTCTCTCGGCGAGATGTAAGGTATACAAATTGAGTTAGCTGAACTCGTAAAAGTCTTGTTCTTAAAAGTTTTCTTCTTTCTTGTGTATTTACTAAAATAAACGTTTAAACAAGTTTTGAACCCAATTCATAATAGTCCAGTGGTTGAAAATTTGAAATGCTCACCTTGAAAGTTGAGGGAACAAGAGTTTCAATCATGGATAGTCACTGTGAATGTTTTACTATTACATGGTAAGAAAACCCGGTTTTGCCACAAGTCCTGAAGATTTGGGATTCGATCCGGGATTCCCAAGACTTAGAATCTCTTAATCATGGTCTTAAAATCTCTTAATAATGGTATAGATTAATCATGAGGTTTGGAATGTTTTCTCCAGGAGACCGCTCAAAGTATCTATGTAAACTTTTGTTTTCTTCACTAGAACTTTACATAATATCAAAATGATTACAAAGAGTATGTGAAGGCTTTGAAGGGTTAAAAATAAGGAATAAGGATGAAAATAAACTACCATATCTCTATAGTCTGTTGCTCCTCAGACAAATCTAGACCAAACTCATCTCCTCTCTTTCTAGGCCAATCGGCTCACAATGCAAGACAAAAGCATCATCAAGCTTTACACATGCACGGAGTGAGAGGATTTTCCCAAAGATCGTAGTTAGGGAAAGTTTCTTCAGGCAAACCGGTCCGTGTTTGATGAGTTACAACTACATCTTCCACAAAAGTTGCCCATCCCATGTAAGGATCCCCAAATGATTTCGACATTAACCCTTTATCCGGTTTGATTGATTTCTGGCGATGACCCATATATCTCCGTGCTCCAATGATCAATTTTGCAAAGTTTCCACCGTGTGTCATTACAAACACATCTGACTTCAAACAGACCAAGAAATCTAGAGCCGCGAGGCTTGTTACGTGCTTTCTAAAGCTTGCTAGTTCCTCCTTGCCTGCTAAATCCTCCTTTGTTACCTGGTTTGAAAGGACAGTTGTTGTGAGAGACAAGCATGCTGATGATGCATTATAGAATTTGAGGAGATAGGGTCCGGTGCGGTTACCAAATTTGGAAACATGTTTCTTAGTGGAGCCATACGGTTTTGGCCGCCATAGACTTGACCAGATGCTACATAGATTTGTGTTTCTTTTGGATATCCCATTGCGCGTAGGATCACAGCAACTTCTCCTGGCTCAAGAGGGCATCGACCTTCTTTGCGCTTCTGCAAAGCGAGCTGCCAGAGATGGGAACCATTCTGCAACACATGTCAAGCAAATTCATTTAGGCAGGAGTTGAGGTTGTTTAGGCATCAAATAGAAGTTATCAACCACTTATAAATGTCACCTTGAAACGTCGAGGCCATTCCTTTTGTCTGTATTCTGCCATTCTAGCTTTTTCTTCCCTTGTCCCCACGAAATCACAGAAAGATAAACCAACCATTCCTTTCTCGAATCTAAGATGAAGAGCCCTAATACAAGACACACAGAATAGTTTTGAGTCAAAACAATGCATAAGGTCCCAAGTTTAAACAAAGTTCTAGAAGTCTGATATCTCCATACATATACGGATTCGGATTTCCAGTGCGATTTCTCATTCTAGCAACAAGTGAATCAGCCATCTGTTCTATCTCTGGGAGAAATTTGAGAGCATGATAATTTACACGGCATCGTAATCTGTTGATTTCTTGAGGTACATTGTCGTACCTGAAAAATTTCCAGCACCACACGGATATATCATTCATCGCTTATAAAGAAAATTCCAAAAGTCTGAGCCCTATACTATAGAATATGTAGTATACCCGAGTCGATCGACAAAAGGCTTCAAGGCCATTATCTTTTTCTCCTTTATCCGAGGCAAAACATTATCTATATAGAACTGGGCTGCTGCATATTTTGGAATGTTTTTGACTGTTCTTCTGCAGAAGATTAACAAAAAGCTGAGACAAAATCTTTGTTCTGATATATAAAAATTGTGATAGATTTTTTTAATCAAATATGTACACAGGGGATGACGCCATAAACCCACAAGCTCACTTTTGAAATCTTCAAACAAGTATATCATTAACAAATAAATGGAGTTGAAAACCAAACCTTATACTAGAGAATAACTCTGCTTTGTCAGTGAACCAGTCAGGTATATCTCGAACAATTCGGACATCATCTTTCAAGTAATCAATGAAATGGTCTACATCAAAAATATCTTCAAATTTTCTGCAAAAGAAAGTAAACGGACTCGGTAAACTATAAATAAAAGAGAGAGAGTACCTGACTCCTTTATTCATGTGCTTAAATAATCATAACTAGAATACAATGCAGCAGCAGTGACTAGAAACTTAGAAAAATAGTTCAAGAAACATCTGAATAAGCCTACGTTTGATCTTTCCAAATTTGGTCCTGCTTCAGTACTGGTAGAATCAGAGTTGCATTCATAATCTTGGCAACAGCTACTGCATTACAGATCTGTAAACAAAAGCCATGAAAGGGCATAACTCAATAAAAAACAAAGCAGCCATTTGGGTATTGATCCATGATTTGACAGTGGAAAGAAGGAGATAAAAGCATGGAAGATACATACAGCAATTCGCTGCTGATTCAAACCACCCTCAGCATGAATGAAAACATAGCCATTTGTTTCGTTCTCAGGAAGAAGATCTGAAAGAAAAAAAGTTGATGAAATCTAATAAGCAGCCATCAAACAAAACCCGAATCAAGGAAAAAAATTTGAACTTTCACCAAAAGACATATCAACAATGTCAATGGCGATTAATACCTGAGACTCCACCAATCCGCCGCTCAGCGCAAGGTTTCCAAGAAGTCGTTGCAGACAAAGGATTCTCCCAAGGAGAAGGTGATTCTTTTACCTAGAAATGCAAAAATACACAATTTGATTAAAGGGATTCAAAGCTTATGCATTTGACAAACACATTCCAAAGTTCAAACACTTACATGAGGGCAGTTAAGCACAATTCCATCCTTTTTACATAAATATGGTGCATTCTGCAGAGACAAGAGATCTTAGTTTGAGAATAATGTAAATCCAACAAAAACCCTTGATTTTCACTCAGAAGAGAATTCGTAAGCAAGCTAATACTTTTCTAAATCGATTCAACAATTTGAACATAGAGCCTGAATCTGAGAGACGTGAAATTTTTAATACCAGAAGATCTCAGTTCTTAGATCGAAAGGAAGACTTACCAAGTGATTAATAATCCCGTAAACGGAGATCAAGCTTGCGACGGCGAGAATCAATATCAAGAGAAGCGATATTTTATTCTTCTGAGGAGAAACCCTAGGATCGTCGCCGAGGAAAGGAAACAAAGAGTGAAACCCAGGGACTGACCAGATCGGACGGTCTCGATCTCTCGAGGGATGACGTGGGCGTCCATCTTCGTCGTCTCCGCCGTTGGGAGAGTGATCGTATACGTGAGGCGAAGACGAGTCCTCATCTCCGCCACCGCCGCCACGTAGCGGAGAGGAAGAAGATCGGCCCCCGAGAGAGCTCGAGTGCCGCAACTCCGCCATTGCTCGCCTCGGGCTAAAAGTCGCCAGCTTATATATCGATTCTCTCTCTATTTCTTCTTCTTCTTCTTCTTCTTCTTCTTCTTCTTCTCTCTCTTTAATCTCTGTGGATAGCAACACTTCTTCAGCTTACTATGTGCAACGCTGCCATGTGAGGAAAGACCTTTGGAGAGAGAGACTCAAACACTCAACAGACGAATTAAAGAAAGCTTTTTTGAAGACAAAAAAAAAAAAAAAAAAAAAAAAAAAAGCTTTTTTGAATGGCCTCAATGTTCATCTTCTAAGTCAACACCCTCTAAATCAAACAGAGGATTAGTTTCTTTAATATTTACAAATACATCCCTATAATTTATTATAGCTACATAATTACCCCTAAATTCCCTATCTCTCGTCTACCTTGACTCACTTTTAACCTACACAATCTCTCGTCTGGATCATCAATCAATCGCCTATTTTTGTCTCTCCGGTGAGATTCCGACCGGTAAGTCAAATTCCGTTCCGATTTTTTCGATTCTCCGATTTTTTCTCAACCATGATTTTGGAAGCTTAATTTGCAGAAATCGAGAGTGAAGGGAGAACATTTGCTCGGGAAGATGAACACGATAGCGAAGCGAGTTACGGGATTAATGACTCGGGCGAGTCATAAACAGTTGCAGCAGGAGCGAGGGATAAGAGTGAAGGTATTCTCCGGAGATCTGGACAAGGCGCTGACGATTCTGCAGAGGAAGATGCAGTCGAGTGGAATGGAGAGGCTGATAAAAGCGCAGCAGACTCATCACATTAAGAACTCGGAGAAGAAGGTTCTCGCTAGGAGGAATCTAGAACGCAGGATCAAATCCATTGACTTTGCTCGCAAACTCCAGTCGATCCTCATCAAGAAAGTCAGGTATAGTTTCCGAATTCTGAAAATGTTTGCATTTAGGGCTTAATGGTTGCTGTTATTTTTTGGCTGCTCGAATTTTTGGTATTATGTTAACTCACACTTGATCTCATGAATTGGTTTCGATCATTGGGTATGATAAAAACCTTGAATTTTAGGAAAAAAAGCTACAAGAACATACACTACTCTTAGCTCTGCTCCTCCACCATTTGTTGCAGTTTTGTATATTCAATGGATTGTTAATGGTTTTCTTATTTTCTTGTTTGCAGAGGTTTATGAGAGCCGAGCCAAATCAACAATGCTGCTATAACCATTACCTTTTTTTTTGGGGAATTAATGTCGATCAGTGCTAGTATGTGTGATATAACACAGTTGTGATCCAGGTTTTTTTCTGTTCATTTTGAACTTTTGATGAATGGAATCAATGTGGGATTGGGATGATATTGGATTATACCATTAGTTGTTTACTCTATGAATAAGGCTTTTCTTTTCTAAGTTTTCCATAATCATTATGAAAATTCAGTTCCAAGAAGTACATGTATTCAAAGTTGTTTCTGGGATCTTAGATAGTTGATCAACTCATCCCAAAAGCAAGGTCGGTAGTCCAAAGCGATGATAGCTGAAACATTTTACAAATGGAGGATTGAGGATTCTGAACTGCTGAATTTGGAATACATTAGCAGGCACTAACCAATATACACTTCTAGACAAAAATTTACTTGTGTTGCTTTTGGGTTGTTTCTAAAATGCTTACCATTGTTTGTCTTAAAGTTCATCTCATTTCTCAGATATATTCATCAGAAAGATCTCAAGTACTCACAGTTACCTGTAAGTTGTTAACTCTATCTCTCTTGAAATCGAGATTTTAGGTACTATGGATAAAAAGAAATTAGATTTAGTAATTACTAATTACAATTTCCTTAATGAACTTTTAAACGAGAAAAGATGGAGAGAATGTCAGTTTTTCTTTCTTATTTGTTTTGCTTGATCCTGATTGTGTTTTAGTGCAAGGAATCTTCAAAAAGATTACTTGCTTCATTGTTAGTTTCCTTCTCTATTTTTTTTAAGAAATATTATTTCCCACAACAAGAATCCTTACTTAGACTTGTCACCAAGTTATCCTCTCTCTCTCTCTCTCATTTAGATATCAGAAACAGTTGAAATCTTGCACGCTTCTTAAGTTCTCATCTCAACTAAATTTTCCTTTTGATGCTTTTTAGCTTCTTCCTCTAATGTCTCATCATCACTATGAAGCCAACCCTCATTTTGCACGCCTTCCACCGCAGAATCAACATGTCAGAGGAGGTGCTTCCACCTCACAAACATCTCCCCATCACCAACCGTCCATTCCACAATCACACCCAAACGCTACACATGTAATCCAAACCAAGCCACAAGGTCGCAACCGCAAAGGTCCAGTCCACGAACCGCCACGTTCAACAATACCTTTACCACTAAGCCCAGAAGAGAAACTACCGCCAAGAAAAGCTCCAAACTCAACAAAAAGACCATTACTATTAAGCCCTGAAGATCATCATCATCACCATCATCAACAACAACAACAACAAAGACCTCCACCATCACAACCACCACGCGGTGGCGGCAGATATCCAACAACACTACCTCCAATAGCCAAACCAATTCCATGGAGAACCGCTCCAACACCATCACCGCATCACCGTGGTGGACCACCTTTATCACCACCTTCAAGAGATCAGACAAACGCAATGACACGGTCAACTGCGTTTTGCTGCGCAATTTTATAAATAATGATGCAATGTTGAATAAGAAAAGTTATTCATTATGCATATGTTAAATAATAAAATAATAAAATAATTATGCATGAGGAGATATCCACATGCTAAATAGCTCTAAGTTAGGTATCTACGTGTGTAATAGCTTTAAATTAGGTATCCATTGTATCACTATAAATAAGAGGTTTAGGTGTTTGCATAAGGCAAGTTAAGTCCTCTAATCGAGTTTGAGAGAAAATTTGAGTGTTCTTGTAATTTGGGAAGTGTTCTATATATATAAAATATTCTCTTTTGTATAATCATCTCTTTAATCTTTTAATAATCTTTTAAATACTTGTGATCCTAATAAACTTTTTTTGTAATTGTACTCACTATGTGTTTGTAAATTTGGTATTAGAGCCATGGCAGTCTAAACTTTATATCTTATCTCGCCGAAGAGTAATAAGCCTACGAGTTGTTTCTTCTACAAGCTAATATAGAAAGTATGCTCTGTAGTTGCCACATAGTGGATTCTCCACATCAGAAATCTGACATAACTAGAAAAAAGAATTTTGAGGAAGAACTTATAAAATCATAATACTCAAAATACCTTGAGGCTCAAAGCTATGAAGTATTGCCTCGGTTATCGAGCTAAAATATCTTACGAGAGATTTCTCAAATATTCTTAGTGCATCATAAAAACCAACTCTTGGCTTAGTATTACTCTAAAGGATAGATAAGAAAAAAAAAGCATTCTATTTAGGTCTTTAGTCGCATCATATATCATGGAAAGTTCCCTAAACAAAACTCCTTTTAAAAAATCAACCTCTAGTAAGATAGATTACCTATATGAAATAGAATATGTGAGTGAAGATAGTAAAGTACCCATCACCCAATTACCCTTACTTAACCCATATAAAGCCTTTACAAAACCAAACTTTACTTTCCCAAAGGTGATAAACAAGTCTTTGGTCCCAGCAAACATGCCGTAAGAGAGCTAATCCTAGCCTCGCAAATGGAGCAACACCTTGTTTCAGCGACAGAAACTGAACAGATGATTCCCCTCCGCTTCAACGAAGGGATGGTTCACCAATGGAAGACTCATGGCTACACCCACCTACATTACGGAGCAATTAGGTTGGCGTTAACTCTACATGGAAGAAAATGCCTACCCGTTGTGGCAAGAGTTGCCCTACTCAACACTAAATAAAGAGAATAACAGCATGCTTGCATAGCAACAATTCAGACGACCCTGAATGCAGGCACGGTATTTGTCACTCTCTACCCAAACTTCAACATAGCACTTGAAGACCCTCAAATCTTCCAGAACATGCAAATTCAGCTACAAATCACAGGCGCTCCCCAAGTTGGCAACACATATGTAGCAACACTCCACCATCATATGGCGTATAGGGTCCAAAACAATGCTATGGACCTCAGTCTCCCACGAGACACAGAAGATGCACTACTCATACAGCTAGAATCTCAACACAGTCCATCATGCATCCATATCCCCAGACAAATTCTTAGAGAAGAATTAGTAAAATTGCTTCCAGAGTCATGGGTGACAAATTACGAAAAGCTTCATGAAAGCAGTGTACCGATACAGTTCGTGGACTCCTCCATCTACAGACGAAAAGACAGAGCAATCGAGATATCTTTTAAACAACAAAATGGTGAAAAATCACGTCATCCAGCCTTTTGTACTGAGATAAATGCAATCTCTCCAGCCGAAGAAGTACAACCCCTGAGGCAATATCTGCCTGGTGTTCCAATCAATTTTTTTTAACGCAGCCGGAGACCCGATCTATGTATTCTCAGACGAAACAGATCACAAATTCTTTGACGTCTGTGACTGAGACTATTGCCTAATGGATAGCTCAGACGAAGAAGAAAAACCAAGGCGAAGAAAAAAAAAGTCATCCCAGCAAATTCTCAAAAAACGATACGAATCTGGAGATTCAGAAGTTGGTCTTCTTGGAGAACCTACAGGGAAGGAATTTGAATACTATGTATTGTATTCAAACAGATCAACTCCACCAACCCCTGACAATGAGAATGTTCGCACGTGTTATATGTGATTCTTCGTCCTCTCCAGAGCCAACATTTCCAACACGAGAATTAGAAAAAGGCAACATTAGGTATTCATGAAAAATCAGAAATCTGAACGTCACCGAGGAAAGGAAACAAAGAGTGAAACCCAGGGAGTGACCAGATCGGACTGTCTTGATCTCTCGAGGGATGACATGGGCGTCCATCTTTGTCGTCTCCGTCGTTGGGAGAGTGATCGTGTACTACGCCGCCACGTAGCGGAGAGGCAAAAGATCGGCCCCGAGAGAACTTGAGTGCTGCAACTCCGCCATTGCTCGCCTCGGGCTAAAAATCGCCAGCTTATCTATCGATTATTTCTCTATTTCTTCTTCTTCTTCTCTTTATAATCTCTGTGGATAGCAGCAGTTCTTCAGCTTACTATGTGCAACGCTGCCATGTGAGGAAAGAGCTTGGAGAGAGAGACTAAAACACTCAATAGACGGATTAAAGAAAGCTTTTTGGAATGGCCTCATTGTTCATATTCTAAGTAACACCCTCTTAATCAAACAGAGGATTAGTTTATTTTATATTTACAATTACATCCTATAGTTTATTATAGCTACATAATCACCCCTAAATTGTCTCTTTTCTTCTCTCTTTTCCTCAGTCATTTTTAACCTACACAATCTCTCGTCTGGATCATCAGTCAATCGCCTCTTTATATCTCTCCGGTGAGATTCCGACCGATAACTCGAATTCCGTTCCGATTGTTTTGCTTCTTCGATTCTCCGCTTTTTTAACTCACCCATGATTTTGGAAGCTCAATTTGGAGAAATCGAGTAACATTTGCTCGGGAAGATGAACACGATAGCGAAGCGAGTTACGGGATTAATGACTCGGGCGAGTCATAACCAGTTACAGCAAGAGCGAGGGATAAGAGTGAAGGTATTCTCCGGGGATCTGGACAAGGCGCTGACGATTCTGCAGAGGAAGATGCAGTCGAGTGGAATGGAGAGGCTGATAAAAGCGCAGCAGACTCATCACATTAAGAACTCGGAGAAGAAGGTTCTCGCTAGGAAGAATCTGGAACGAAGGATCAAATCCATTGACTTTGCTCGCAAACTCCAGAAGATCCTTATCAAGAAAGTCAGGTATAGTTTCCGAATTCGGAAAATGTTTGCATTTAGGGCTTAATGGTTATTGTTTAGGCTGCTCAAAAATTTCTGAAATCATGTAACTCACACTCATGAACTTGTTCGATTCATTGGGTATGGTAAAAACCTTGAATTTTAGAAAAAGCTACAAGAACATACACTACTCTTCCAATGTTGCAGTTTTGTAGCTATAATTGTATACAACGGATTGTTAATGGTTTCTTTCTCATTTTCTTCTTTGCAGAGGTTTATGAGAGCCGAGCCAAATCAAGAATGCTGCTATAACGATTACATCTTTTTCTGGGAACTAATGTTGATCAGTGCTAGTATGTGTGATATAACACAGTTGTGATTCAGGTTTTTTCTTTTCGTTTTGAACTTTCGATGAATGGGATCAATATGGAATTGGTATGATCTTGGATTACCATTAGTTTTTTACTCTTATGAATAAGGCTTTTCTTTCCTAAGTTTTCCATAATCATTATGAAAAGCTTCAGTTCCAAAAAGTACATGTATTCAAAGTTGTTTCTGGGATCTTAGATAGTTGATCAACCCATCGCAACAGCCGGAAACCTCGGTACTCCAAAGCGATGGAGGATTGAGGATTCTGAATTGCTGAATTTTCGATACATTAGCAGGCAATAACCAATATACACTTACAGACAAAATTTTACTTGTGTTGCTTTTGGTTTGTTTCTAAAATGCTTACCATTGTTTGTTTTAAAGTTCATCTCAGTTTCTCAGATATATTCAACAGAAAGATCTCAAGTACTCGCAGTTACCTGTAAGTTGTTAACTCTGTCTCTCTTGAAATCGAGATTTTAGGTACTATGGATAAAAAGAAATTAGGTTGAGTAATTACTAATTACAAAGTCCTTAATGAACCTGAAAATGAGAAAAGATGGAGAGAATGTTTACTAGTTTTTCTCTATTTTTGTTTTGCTTGATCCTGATTGTGTTTTCCTGCAAGGAATCTTCGAAAAGATTACTTGCTTCATTGTATTAGTTTCCTTCTCTATTTTTTTTTAAGAAATATTATTTCCCACAACAAGAATCCTTACTTGGACTTGTCACCAAGTTATCCTCTCTCTCTCTCTCTCATTTAGATATCAGAAACAGTTGAAATCTCGCACTCTTCTTATGTTCTCATCTCAACTAAATTTTCCTTTTGATGCTTTTTAGCTTCTTCCTCTAATGTATCATCATCACTATGAAACCAACCCTCATTTCGCACGCCTTCCACCGCAGAATCAACATGTCAGAGGCGGTGCTTCCACCTCACAAACATCTCCCCATCACCAACCGTCCATTCCACGATCACACCCAAACGCTCCACATGTAATTCAAACCAAGCCACAAGGTCGCAACCGCAAAGGTCCAGTCCACGAACCTCGACATTCCACAATACCTTTACCACTAAGCCCAGAAGAGAAACTACCGCCAAGGAAAACTTCAAACTCTGCAAAAATACCATTACTATCAAGCCCAGAGGAGAGACCACCACCAAGAAAAACACCAAACTCTACAAAAAAACCATTACTATTAAGCCCTGAAGATCATCACCATCATCAACAACAACAACAAAGACCTCCACCATCACAACCACCACGCGGTGGCGGCGGTTATCCAACAACACTACCTCCAATAGCCAAACCAACTCCATGGAGAACCGCTCCAACTCCATCACCGCACCACCGCGGTGGCCCACCGTTACCACCACCTTCAAGAGATCAGACAAACGCAATGACATGGTCGGCTGCGTTCTGCTGCGCAATTTTCTGGATCATTCTTATTCTTGGCGGCTTAATAGTCCTTATCGTCTACCTCGTGTACCGTCCACGCTCTCCTCACATCGACATCTCAGCTGCTAACCTAAACGCTGCTTATCTCGACATGGGTTTTCTTCTGAACGGAGATCTAACCATTCTTGCAAACTTTACAAACCCGAACAAGAAAAGCAGTGTCAAGTTTAGCTCTGTGACATTCGAGCTTTACTATTACAGCACTCTTATAGCTACTCAGTACATTGAGCCTTTCAAGATTCCTAAGAGAATGTCCATGTTTGCGAATGTTCATCTTGTGAGCAGTCAAGTCCAGCTCCAGCCAACGCAGAGCAAGGAGCTGCAGCGTCAGATTGAAACTGGTCCGGTTTTGTTGAACCTAAGAGGAAAGTTTCACGCACATTCGAACTTAGGGATGTTGCTTAGGTACTCTTATTGGTTGCATACTCATTGCAGCTTTTCATTGAATAGTCCTCCTTCAGGAGCTATGCGAGCCAGAAGATGCAGTACCAAACGCTAGCGTCTCGTGAATGCGTTTACTCCTTTTTTTTTTTTTGGGCCACCTTTAGAAATAATTCATTTTCTGTACTCATTGATACCACCAGATTTATTAATTGTAAAATCATTTGATTTCATTTGACATATGGGTCACTAGTTTTTGCAAAGTAGAATTAATGTTCCAAACTTTAGAGGATGTTTTAGGACTTCTATACATTATAAACATTTTTACACGAAAAGAAAAGAACAATACCAAATGATTTGCCTATGATTTATTTGCATGATTCATGACAAAGAAAAAAGGAGTTCTTTGTCCAGTAAAGCACAAAAAATAAAAATTCTGATATCCCTTGAGACAAAATCACAACATACATAGCACAAGATTTTATTAAACAAAAAAAAAATGCACGTTTAGACACCTTTAGCACAAGATTAAACAAAAATGGTGAGCTAAAATGAGAAGGCCCAATTACGGCAATAAAGCCCAAAATATTGAAACAATGTTTTGGATATAGTGCAACCCGTCTTAGGCGGTATGACCCGGAAATACACAACCCGAGCCGATCACCCAAATCTGGTCCAGTGCGGTTTGCCCGGAGCTCAAGAAACATCCCTCCCTAAAATTGATTTCCTTTTAGTTTCTTCGTCATTCGTCAGCTTCACACTTCCTCCGCTTCGTTTATTTTGCGTCTCGATATCGTTGCTTTTCCTTAGCAAGGTACGTCTAAAGCTCCTAAATTGTGATCTACTGTCGTTAATTTGTTTTAATACGAAGTATTAGGGCTCATGGTTTCTACACTCAAAAATAATTTCGTGTTAGATTCGATCTGAACTGTGAGAGGAATGTCTTGGATTGTTATCTGATTCGGTGTCTTTCTCAAGCTTGATTAGTTTATGATTTTGACGGATTTTCCGATGGTTCTGCAGGGTTTTTGAAGATGAAGCTTGATACTAGTGGATTTGAGACAACTATGCCAATGATTGGGTTTGGATCAAGCAGCGAGATGCTTGATGGATTTTCTTCTGTACCTTCATTCGATCTTCCTCGTACAACTGATGTGAGCTTTAGTTTCGAAAATTCAATTTCTTTTGTATTCCTATTTGCAAGGGTGTTTTTTGATTGAGAAATTCGCATCTTTGTGTTGGGTTTAGTTTGATGGGTTTCAGAAAGAAGCTGTACAGATGGTGAAGCCTGCAAAGGGTACAACGACACTCGCGTTTATCTTTAAAGAAGGTGTTATGGTAGCTGCTGATTCTCGAGCAAGCATGGGAGGATATATCTGTATGTTTTTCTTGACAATGGAGATTCTTGTTGGCTTTAGTTCTGTGTTGGATTGTTAAAAAAAAAGAAAGAAAAGTCGAATCTTTGTTATCTTAGCCAGTGATACTGTAAAGTAAAAGAAAGGAGGCATATGTGTAATTGCTGATGTTTTCTTGTTTGTTTGTTTTCCATTCAGCTTCGCAGTCTGTGAAGAAGATTATTGAAATTAATCCTTATATGCTTGGTACAATGGCTGGTGGAGCTGCTGATTGCCAATTCTGGCACCGGAATCTGGGAATCAAGGTACCGAACCTCTCGACTTTCTTAGCTTTTTTCCTGAATTGATGAATTGGGTCTGTCATTTGCTGTGACAATTAGGTTACTCATTGTCTATCCTTTGTTCGTATAGCTAGTTTGTTGGTTTCTGATAGCATTTGAGTTATACTGCTTCGTGGGAGACTTAAATGTTTTGTATGCCGTCTGTTTCCAAGAATGAGAATGCTTTTTCTTATCTGAGATTGACCTTAGGAGCATGCCTTTTATTCTGTATCGTTAAAACCCGAGGGATCAGGATTATCGTATATTCGTATGCCTGCATACAGTCGTAGGGTTCTTCAGTTTCTTGTGTCTAAGTTTTTGTTCCGGTTTTATCCTGTTAGTTAAGTGAAATTTGTTTCATTTATCTTGTATACCAAATCTGCACTAAGCCGGAGCCATGTCTCTAATAGATGTGGTTTATCTGTCTATCGTAGTGCCGTCTACATGAGCTGGCAAACAAAAGGAGAATCTCTGTTTCAGGAGCTTCAAAGCTGCTTGCCAACATGCTCTATTCATACCGTGGAATGGGACTATCTGTCGGCACAATGATTGCTGGATGGGATGAAACAGTCAGTACATGAAACGCTATATCTTTACTTCCTCGTCTGTAATTTCACTAGTAAAAAAGAGATTAATGTGAAATACTAAAATCCCTGGCTTTGTGGAACAGGGCCCTGGGTTGTACTATGTTGACAATGAAGGAGGACGGCTTAAGGGAGACAGATTCTCTGTCGGTTCGGGTTCACCATACGCTTATGGTGTTCTTGACAGCGGGTACTTTCTATTTCAAGAAACATCATTGCCCAACTTCTCTTTTAGTCTAGTCCCAAACCAGAATCTAATCTTGATCTTATGGTCCTTTTTGTTGTGTCAACAGATACAAATTCGATATGTCGGTTGAAGAAGCCTCAGAATTAGCAAGGAGATCTATCTACCATGCTACATTCCGTGATGGAGCTAGTGGTGGAGTTGCTAGCGGTAAAAAGAGCAATCCTGTCTTCTTCTTCTTCTGCAAATGCATCATCTGATATCAAGATTCTTTTTTTTTTTTGAAGATTTATTAATTTCTCTCAATCTATATGATCAGTGTACCACGTTGGGCCTAATGGGTGGAAGAAACTCTCTGGAGATGACGTCGGCGAGCTACATTACCACTATTATCCAGTGGTTCCAGCCACCGCGGAACAGGAGATGGAAGAGGCGACCGAGTAAATACTTTTGATTATCTATTATTAGCTTTTAAGAGTTTTATCACAAGTCTTCTGTTGAGAACAGAATCATGGTTACATGTTTCTTTTGTATTGCGAATGTTGTAGTTAGGTATATTAGAGTCTCCTGGGATTGCTTGCGGATATCGAATGTTATTGATATTTAATTATCTTTCGAATCAGATTGGATAATCTCATGTTTGTTGGTGCTTTTTTTTTTTGTTGCTGTCATTTTTGTGGCGATGGAATTAGTTCTGCTAATCTGCTATGTGCCTATGTAGTAGATCCAAGTATCCAAAATCTGTTTGCTTTACCGCCTGAATTTCATTTCTTCTCTTATGAATTACATCCACTATTATATAAAAAAATTTATTTATCTATTCATGGTGATTAGTAGTTGAAAAAATTATTTTGAAATATGACAAATTAAGGTTTTAGTCTTTTAACTGCGATTTCAATCATATATGCCAATTGTTGTAAATGCTTTAAATTAGCAAAAATATTTGGCTTTTCGCAAATCGAGATTATTAAATTTGGATTTCGGTTCAGAATCTCTGGTTACAAAAGTTTGTATTAGTTGAAAAAAGTTAAGAGATGTTGTATTAGTATAGAAAATACATGCATCATTCTAAATCGGATAAGCAACACCAATCATTCAAATTGTTCTATTTTAGCTAAGGTTTCTTTTCCTATATAAATAAAGTCTTAACTCTTAACCATGATTAACTAGCGACGATAATTGAGCCAAATAAAGTCTTATCTCTGGCTAAATTTCAAAACTCTAAACTTCGAAAATACAAGTTTGCCTCTCATATAGAAGATAGTTTTTTAGATAGTTGACGATTTCGTTACACTAGTGACTATATTCATTAACATACTTCGAAGATTTAGACCAAAAATACATACTCCGAAGATATTATGGAACAAACTCGAAGATCCAAAAGATATTTCGAGACCACTCGAATTTTTTTGGTAAAAAAAAAACAAAGTCAATCAAGTGATTTAATTAGTTTCAGGAATTCACCAAGTATTATATATTATGAACATACTTGAAAGGTGGTTCATATCTTAAACGTTATTAGCTATAATTGGTTCTAAACTAACTGTGTGCATATCATATGCGATGATAATTTCTATCTATTTAAGTTAATTGACTTTACTAGATTGATTTCGCCATCTCTATTCGATTTCGAAAACTAATAATGCATGTAATGAAATTTTCCTCCACTAAAGGATGTGTCAGATTACAGAAAACATTTTCGTTTTCTTCTTTGGGATCTTTATGACTTTGGTACCCACTCTTCGACTCTGTACATCCATCCACCTGTCCTTGAAATTAATATCCGACAAGTACAACAATATAAATGGCATTATGCAATATTTAGCTGACGGCAGACAAAAAGCTCAATTTATCGTTGTGAAAGTTTCTATTTTCATACAAAATTTCTATATTCATTATGCAATATTTAAATAAACTTATTTACGTAAACAAGAGAAAAATCAAATGTTTAAGAAATTTACGACCAAATAGATAAATTGAGCATATATTTATTAATATTTTTATGGTAAATTTGAACTTCATATCTTTTTATATATGCACTATTGAATTGTGTATCATAATCTTTTGGCCATCTGGACGATCGTTGAGCCAAAACCATACGTACGTAACATAATATAACTTAAAAGCAAAAACTCTAAAACGTCGAAGATAGTTAGCCACTCATAGTCTCATATAGACGATACCATTTTAAAGATAAGGAGTTTGAGTACTCCGAAGATATAATGGAACAGACTCGGAATTTTTTTTTTTTTTAAACTCGATCAAAGATATTATGGGACGACTAGTCGTAAGGTGGTTCATATATTTTTTTTTTTCAAAAAAACAAATCGATAGAAAGATAATTATGGGACGACTCGAGTTAGGTGGTTCATGTATTTTTTATTTCAAAAAAAATAACCAAAGATATTATGGGACGAATCGAATGGTGGTTCATATTTTAAACGCTAGTAGCTATCAATTAGAACCAAAGATATTATGGGACGAATCGAATGGTGTGGTTCGTATTTCAAACGCTAGTAGCTATCAATGGTTTTAAATTCATAATATGAAGTTAGTCATACTCACGAATAATATAGACCCAATTATTATATATAATAAAAATAAATAAAATAAAGGAAGAACTCATACGTTAGTTAGCTAGTTTCTCCTTCACGTCACGTCGACGACTCAACACTCTTTGGATTAATACGATAAGAAACAAAGGAACACAAGATAGACTCATAGACATACTTTTATTTCGGTACATTTAATTTTTTAATATCATGAAGAACTTATATAGTGTATATGTAATCAATTTTCACCATACTTAACCGGAACAAGTAGAAGCTCCTTTTTCTTGCCCACAGTGAGTCCAGGAGATTCTTCCATGTCGATATCTTCGACCACCATGCCTTCTGGCAATTTCCAATCAAATTGAGACAACATATTTGCCAGACCAAACTCCACCATTGTTGTCCCCATGTACATTCCAGGACAGATTCTCCTGCCACTTCCAAAGGGTAACAGCTCGAAGTTCTGCCCTTTTGCATCAATGTTATTATCCATAAACCTCTCTGGGAGAAACACTTCTGGATCCTTCCAGGTATCTGGATCGCGCCCGATAGCCCATGTATTCACATAAAGCAATGTCTTGGGTTGAATCTTGTAGCCATTGATCTCAAATTCAGACATTACTTCTCTTGGAACCAGAAGAGGTACTGGAGGATGTAGCCTCCATGTTTCTTTGGTCACCATTTTCAGGTAATTAAGCTGATCTGTGTCATCAAATGTGATCATTGATTTGTTCCCCATTTGGTTTCTGACTTCGGATTGTACTTTCTTCATCGCTCGAGGGTTTCTCATAAGTTCTGCCATTGCCCATGTCATTGTTATTGCAGAAGTACTGATGGCTCCAAGAAGAACGTTCTGTGATAAGATCCAAGAAATTACACATATTTGTTAGAGTCACAAGTATGTAATTGTTAAAGTACTATATTTTCTTACAAATTTGGATTGCAAATCTTTGTAGAGTTACCATCAAGATTGCTTTGCAATGGTTTCTTGTGAGCTTGCCATATCCAAGAACAGTTTCTTCTTTCTCCAACCGCAGGAGCAAGTCCACAAAATCTTCAACTCCACCTTTGTTCCCCTGTTTATGCAAATCAAACATTTGTTCATAGAAAGCATCGAGATCTCTCACGCTCTTCTCTCTCCGGCCTTGTAATCCCGTGAGCCAGTCAATGATCCAGCCACCATTTGGGAAGAAATCCGAGGCACAGAAGCTCCCCAAAAACAAGAATGCCTCGTGAACTAACTTGTGGAATCTGTCATTGTTGAGAACAGTTCCTTGAAAACTCAAACCAAATGCTGCCTTGCATATCACGCTAGCGGTTAAACCCTGAAACTTCTGGCTCAAGTTAACCGGACTTCTCTGAGAAGCTGATTCCGCGACTGATTCGATCAGTTTCTTGACTTCCTCGTCCTTGATGGGTTGAATCGAGTGAACTCTTTTAGCACTGAAGAGCTCTTGCACACAAATCTTCCTTAGTTCTTTCCAGTAGTCATCAAAGGGAGCAAAAGCAATGTCCAGATAATTGTAAGAGAGGTCTCTTGGCCCTGAGAAATTATCAAAAATCATTGGTCTTTAATGAATAAAGGCAACAAACAAAAAATAAAAACCAAAACTTTAGGATGTGTTGAGTGAGAGTTACGGTACCTACTAAGCTTGGACGGCTACAACAATGGAGGTCATGGATTTTCAGAGCTTGTTTTGCTGTTTCAGAGGAAGAAACTACGACCGTTGGAACTCTTCCAAGCTTCAAAAACATCACAGGACCATACTTTTTGGAAAGTGTCCACAGAGACTGATGTGGTAATTCTCCGAGCTGGTGTAAATTTCCGATGATCGGAAAACCAGGAGGAGACGGTGGTCCTGGTTTTTGCTTCTTGCGTCTGAAGGCGGCAAGAAGAAGACATGTTAGAAAGAGAAGTGATAGATACCAAATCGTAGCCATCCTTTTTTTTTTGTATAGCGTATTAGCGTAAGTCTTTTGAGAAATGAGCATGGACATCAGATTTAAATGTTTTAGAAATTTGAATATTGACAAAAGTGTACGAGGTACATCATTTGTCAATTAAATAGCACAAAAATCATCTTCCCTACAAATTTTTTTTTTTTTTGCTTCCCCACAATTCTTTCATGCATTAATACGGTTAAAAACAAAAACAAAAATCGAGTGGATATCGTTTTTTAATATGGAACGTATATCCATTTTTTCAAGTAGCATATGGATACTATTTGTAAGGGTCGAATAAACAGGGTACCTCTCCCCTACCAAAACCCTAATTTGAAAAAAAAAAAGAAAGTAAATTTAGCTTTTCACGAAATAAATGTTTATTGTCTCGTAGTTATACCTCAGCTGTCTGTTTTTTGGTATAATGTTATTAGGTCAGCTGTCACTGTCCCACGTGATTAATGTCTTTTATGACTTTGTCGCTGTTCACTGTTTATCAATTTTGCTTTTTTATAGTTTTATTTTATTTGTTTTGTTCATATTTTTCCTCCGTCGTCATCATTCATTGATTGGTTCATATATACTTCATAGTGGAGAACAGAGCAAATAATCACTCATGTGATATATGAAAGCACAAGCTTCCTTCCATCACCATCATCATTAATAGGCAATTAAATGGCTCTGATTTGGTATCTATCACTTCTCTTTCTCACCTGTCTTCTTCTCGCCGCCCTCAAACGCAAGAAGCAGCAACCAAGACCACCGTCTCCTCCTGGTTTTCCGATCATCGGAAATTTACACCAGCTCGGAGAATTACCTCATCAATCTCTATGGAGACTCTCCAAAAAGTATGGTCCTGTGATGTTTTTGAAGCTTGGAAGAGTCCCAACGGTCGTAGTTTCTTCCTCTGAAACTGCAAAACAAGCTCTGAAAATCCATGACCTCCATTGTTGTAGCCGTCCCAGCTTAGTAGGTACTTTACCTCTCACTCAACACATCCTAAAGGTTTTTTTTGGCTTTATTCATTAAAAAATCCCATGATTTTTGATCATTTCTCAGGGCCAAGAGAACTCTCTTACAATTATCTGGACATCGCTTTTGCTCCCTTTGATGATTACTGGAAAGAAGTCAAGAAACTGTGTGTGCAAGAGGTCTTCTGTGCTAAACGAGTTCACTCGATTCAACCCATCAAAGACGAGGAGGTCAAGAAACTGATCGATTCAGTCACGGAATCAGCTTCTGAGAAAACACCGGTTAACTTGAGCGAGAAGTTTCTTTCTTTAACTGTAGGCGTGATATGCAAGGCAGCATTTGGTGTGAGTTTCCACGGGACTGTGCTCAACAATGACAGATTCGACAAGTTCATCAACGAAGCATTCTTGTTTTTAGGGAGCTTCTCTGCCTCGGATTTTTTCCCAAATGGTGGCTGGATCATCGACTGGCTCACTGGTTTACAAGGGCGGAGAGAGAGAAGCGTGAAAGATCTTGATGCGTTTTATGAACAAATGTTTGATCTACATAAAGAGGAAAAAGATAGAGAGAGTGAAGATTTCGTGGATTTGCTCTTGAGATTTCAGAAAGAAGAATCTGTTCTTGGATATGGCAAGCTCACAAGAAACCATATCAAAGCAATCTTAATGGTAACTATATATAAATACAAATCAAGAATTGCAATCATATATTGAAATTACATTATAATACCTCAAGATTATAACACTTCATTTATCTTGATGGTCTTATGACAGAATGTTCTTATAGGAGCCATCGGTACTTCTGCAATAACAATGACATGGGCAATGACAGAACTTATGAGAAACCCACGAGCAATGAAGAAAGTTCAATCCGAAATCAGAAATCAAATTGGTAACAAGTCAATGATCACCTTGGATGACATAGAGAAGCTCCATTACCTGAAAATGGTTGTCAAAGAAACATGGAGGCTACACCCTCCAGCACCTCTTCTGGTTCCAAGAGAAGTAATGTCTGAATTTGAGATCAATGGGTACAAGATTCAACCAAAGACACGGCTTTATGTGAATGTTTGGGCTATTGGACGTGATCCAGAGACCTGGAAAGATCCAGAGATGTTTCTCCCGGAAAGGTTCATTGATAATAACATTGATGTAAAAGGACAGAATTTTGAGCTGTTACCCTTTGGAGGCGGCCGGAGACTCTGTCCTGCCATCTACATGGGAACATCAATGGTGGAGTTTGGTCTTGCGAATATGTGTATCATTTTGACTGG